ACTGCTCTTATTTTAGTAGGAGTTGCATGCCAGATTGGCCCTAGTAATCTAAGTTACAGATCTACATTATACTTTGCAGATGCATTTATTTCAAAGTAAAGCAAATTCAAATAAAAAGTTATACCAAAGTAGCAAACTAGGTTTTTTTTATCTCAGACTGCCCTGAACCTTTAGTACATACAGAATACAGGAAATTTTGGTTAAAAAGTGTCTGAAAATGGAATTTAAGAAATAGCAAAAATAATAACTGTAAGATTTACAATTAAATATTACCTATAGATACTTCATTAAGAACAGTGGCTACTGATACTCAGAAAACAGACAGACCAGCTCATCTTACTTTCTAAAGAAAAAAGATGGAAGTATGGATGACAGAAAAAGATTAATGTCATACCTGTATGTTTTTGTAAGAATGTGTGCAACTCCTTTTTAAGTTTTATTTTTGTATTCTCCCAACTTTTATAATAGAGAGGTAATTTTGCTTTAAGCATTTACAAAAGGAATTCCAGCAGGTGTACTATGTCCTTGTGTAACTAGATAATAGCATTTAATGAGTAGCCCCAGTGGTGCCTATGTGGTGAAAAAGCATCTGTTCAGGAAGCCCTGCAATCTTAGTTCTCAAATAAAGCCATGTTTTTAAAGTTCTAGTCCCAGGTGTTAGGTCTGTTCTAGTAAACAAAGTGGATCCAGACCCTGCTCTCCAGCCCTGAGGGTAAGTGATACAGCAGGGCTGATGTCTGCATGGCTGAACTCTCCTTCTGTCCCCCAGGCAGGGTGCAGCCCCTTGAGGGCAGTCCTAGGTCAGTGTTATCCCTTGAACTGGGCTCGTGTATTGCCTGAGAGAGTGTGATCACAATGGGCTGTGGTCATACTATGGGAAGGACTAGTAACTAAAGGTTGTGGGCCCTTGATCTGCCTTCTGTACACTTTCAGCATAGACCTGTCCAGTTATGTCTGGACTTCTAGGTGAGTTTCAGCAACCATACAAAATGTGAAAGACTGGTTAGGAGAAAACGAGGTAAACTGTGTTCAGGTTGGGCAGCAGTCTGACAGCCAAGCAGGGCTGTAGTCTTTCAGGGTTTAAGACAAGAAAACTATTGAGCTTATTTGTAATGCTCTTCCCAGGCTTGCTGAGACCACATGCAGACAGTTGTCTACAAATTTCAGCACCACCTATCAAGAATTACAAGTATTAGAAATGCTGCATAGAGGGAAAGTGGTGATAGAGCACAAGAAAAATGGTTTTTTACTGAATTGTGTAAGAAATGCGAGGATCTGATCCAGAGGAACCTTTGCTACTGCAAAGCTTTATGCAAAACTTTAACGGTGCCTGTAGTTTTAAGTTGCGTACAGATTTAGAGAGTGAGGGAGGAGAAGATGGCTACTACTCCTGGACAAAAGAGAAAGAGAGGCTAACAGTGAATGTGGCATGGAAAGAGTGTAGGTACACTGACTGCTTCATGTGGGAGGGAGAGGAATAGATGCTGCAGCATGTTCCCAGAGGAAGTAGCAGTGTGACAGCTCCATAAGTACTACATAAAGTGAGAGAGGGTCACAAAGCTTTTCTTTTGAAATATTGCTATACTAACTCTGTATGCTTTCATAATTACCAAGTGGATATTTTTCGGGGTGTGGTATACCAGGGAGCAAGCTATATTCCTGCCTGCTAAATAACTGTTCTGGTTTAGAACAAGCTGTTTCAACCTTACCCAGGATGGTTTGCTGTGTATGTAGAGTTGGTTGAACACTAAGCTCCTGGCTGGCAGTGCATATGGCATCCCGCTGATGTTAAAACATGTTGCAACTGATCAGGTACTGACATGAATACATTCCTTAAGGGGAGGGGTAGTAATGCCTCAATTTGCTGAAACATGTTTAACACCCTTGGGGAATGACTGAGAAAGAAACTAAATATTACACAGTGTCAAACCTTAAAATGCTAAGGGATATGTTTTAAATAAAGAGATTAGGTGGGTCTGCTAGCTTTGGCTTGCTGTTTTGTGACTTGTAATTTATTGTTACCCAGCTTTAACAATAAGAAAATGTGAGTTTGGTTGTGTTGCTTTCCCTTTCCACCCACCTCATTGTTGAAGAGTGTGGTTCTTTCTGTTTTCAGCAGTTTTTGTTATGTAGAAGAAACAAACTTGGCCTTAAGAACTGGCAATTTGGGAAAAAATAATCTACATTTCATATACTTAAAAATAATGACAAGCAGACATGCTTTTAATATTACTTGTCTGAGTATATTTCTAATGGGTTTAGAAATAGCAAGTTACCTCAGCTGCAGTTTAATTGGATGCACTCAGAAGAATTCTGTGATGGCACTTGGTAAAGGCACTATTAAAATAGTGCTGGAAGCGTGCCTGCAATATTAACATCTTGTCTTGTGGTGGTGGTTAGCCTTAGTGGGTATTAGATGGAAGACTTCCAGTCAGTTGGGTTGATTAATTTCAGATCTGGACTTAAAATGATCCCTGTGTATGTTGTACTGGATCCTTCTGCTAAGTAGCAGCTGAATAACGGTTTCCTTTTTGCAGTAAGTCAGGAAAAAAAGAAAAAAAAAAAGTTGGGATGAAATCAGAGCTTTTCTCTTGCCTAGGCCAAATAGGAAAAAAATGAAAAGTAAAGCTTTTAATTGAAAGGCTAGTTTTTTGTCCACGTATCATGTGTTTCTTACTCTTCAATCTGCAAAGACCGAGACATCTAAGGGTGTCATAAGTCTTTATCCAAAAGGGTATTGTGTCTGAGCAGCAGTGGCATATGTGCCCATGATAAATTGCACTGGGAGAGGTCTTGGTCTTCAGGCAATGCCTTGGCAAATTTGTGGCACATGGAGAAATGGTTGCCTCCAAAGCAGGATGGCACGAGGAGCGTTTAGGAAATGGTTTGAACTCATTGCAGTACCTCACCCTGCTTCCTTGTTGGTAACTGTATTAGTCCCACAGGAAGCCAGTGTGTCAAGCAGTCGCTGCTGTCGTCTGGAGGGAGCATTCTTAGGATGCAGAACAGAAAAATAATTTGATTGGGTTTCTTCATTGTCTTTTCGGTTTTCAAACACTCCATTATTTATAATTATTTCTGTAGATTGCACAGTGTGGATTGAGGTTAACAGCTATAAGCCTTGTTCCTATTTAAATTTTTTTATAAGTAAAAAATTGACAAAGTTACTGCACCCTTTCTGTAATGACAGAAACAGCTCTTAGTACAAAGAGAATGTAAAATCTGTTTTTAAAGCTAGTGAAAAGACTGACAGATCCTTTCTAATTTCATTCATGTGTGTACTGATCTTGCAACCTACATTGCAAACTTATTGCCAAGTTACGATTAGGGTTTGTTTTGCATGGCTAAAGCTGAACTCCACATTTAACTAATAGGTCTTTGATATTACAATGTCTCAATTGTGTCTTTATCTAAATCAATTGGTAGGGCAAGCTAGAGGTGAAGTTTTGTGGTGGTAACAAGGATGGGGCAGGAGGCTTCAGTAGGTTTACTAAAATCGGTGCTTATCAAATCAAAGGCATGCACAATAGAAGAAATTACCTGAATTAGCTGTGTATATTGTTAAGGGCTAAATTAATAAGTTACGGTATCTGATGGTTTCTGTTTTCCTTATTTTTAGTGCAGTTAAAACATTCATTAATTTTTACTTGGAAGTCTTGATATAGTATGTTGGGATGTCTGAACAACAGACAGGAAATGTATCTGTAAGTAGTGTGCCCTTGTTGCACCATCACTGGCCATACATTTTTCAGATTCATTAATTGTATCTGAAAATTTATGTGAAAAATTATGAAAAAATACACAAAGGGGAGCTGAAGAGTTCAGATCACATGAGAATTTTATCAGCTCTTGAGGTAATAAAAAGGCATTATTGTTCGTCTTTATAGAAATGTTAAGTGAAATCTGTAGACACGTAAAATCAAGTGTGGTGCAGGCATTCCTGTCACACCAACACAAGAGAAGGCAAAACCAGAAAGAGGATACGAGTCATAATGATCATGCAAAATGCATTAACACAGTATGTCATTGAGGCTGAGGACTTGTGGAGCTTGAAGTAAGTGTTTGCCACATACTTGAATGAACAGTATACAGAACTGTATGCAGCAGCATGCTTTTTGGTTTATTGCAGTTGTAAGAATAAAAATTTCCTATAATGATAGTTTTCAATTAGAAAACTTCAGTTTTCTCTAAATTCTGAAGTGTTGCCATGACGACACTGCTCAGCTTCACTCACTGGTTTGATGCGTTGGGGTAATTTTTGTATCACCATCTCATGTGGTAGTTGAAGATGTTATCGTAACATTATGGTTGAGCAGTCATTTTAGTCTCACATTTGAAGTTACATGAAATATTTTCCCTGTCTTGCCCCCCCTAGAAGATAATTCTAAAAAGTCACAAAATATTTATGTAAATTAATTCAAATAGTTTGTGGCAGGTGGCCAAGACAGAGGGTTTCGTGGAACACTTTGCACTTGTTTTCACCATCAAACTTCCAGTAAAGTGTTGAATGATGAGCTATTAGGGAGAACCTAATTACTGTAGTAAAATTTTGGTAGCCTTTCTGAATTTGTTTTGTATTAATTGAATGACAACATCTTCAAGAAGTCCTAAACAAAACCGCAGTAATCATTGTTATAAAATCTGTGAGATCCAGTTAAACAATTCTGAGTTTAAAATGTACAGTATTGCTTTACTTTTCTGTCAGTCTCAAGACGTGTATTCATTGAGGAAGCACAGTTCATGACAGGGTTGCAGTTACCTGAACTTTTACTTGATAAAATGAGTGGATTTGGCTGGCTCTAAAGGAACTCTTAGATTCTGGATAGCTTGCTAGATAGGTTTCACTGGATGTAATGGCCAGATTTCCACTGACTATAGTGAAATACATGTAGACACTGACACACAGACACCGAAATTTCAGTGTCTGGATATCAAGCTGAATCTCACCATTTGTTACTTTCCTCATCCTCATATCTACATGTAATAGAGACCTTGTGATCTTGAGGAAGTATAAAAGCTGGAGGTTCTCAAGTCTTTCTTTGTTATTTCTTGTCCTGTCTGTGTGAATCTGTTAAAAAGAACCGAACCCATGCTCAATAAAAGTGACATTCATATCCTATGAATGTGCAAGGCTGATTACTTATCATCAGACCTGTCCTGTGCATCACTCTTTGCAAACCTCCTTTTCTGGACAACTTCACTTAATAGTGTTGAACCATAGTTTGGAAGTCCTGCTTGTCTTTTGAGTGACTATTTCCTCTGAAGTACAGCTGCACCCCATTCTTCTTCATTTAGGTGCTTCATCACACTTAGGTCCATGATGTATCTTTCATGTTTAGTTTTCTAGCTTTTCTACTCAAATTTTGTTTGAGTAGACCCATGAGCCCCTGGACCAGTGCCAAAGAGCTTGAGGCAAAAAAGGTCATCTGGTTCAGACATCTGGATATCTGGTTCAAAACTTACTTTTGCCGGTTGCAGACATTGGCATGGAAATTAGTGCTGACATTTGTACCAAGGTCTGAGACTGAAAGTTCTTTTCTTAACATAAATCAAATAACAAAATTAAGCTAGAAAAACTCCTCATGTTTTATATACAGATCCTTCTGAGACAAATCTTTGTAAAGAATCTAGAGCTTCTGAGAGGGGGGAAGCCTAGGATTTAATGATTTAGGATGGGGTTTTTGACACCAAGGAACCTGCTACAGAACCATATGCTGTGTGTATGCATTGTGGGCCTTGATTCTGATGATAAAGGGGATCTGTTCCTCCTTAATGCTACAAAGTCGTACCTCCTTGCCATTTTTGAGCAGAAACTTTCCTCTTCTCTCTAAGTGATCAGACCATCCCTGAAAAAAGATCAGGAAAATGTGGTAGGCATGTGTATTAGGAGAGGGTACTTCCAACACTAAAATTAGATCTCGTGGTCATGACAGTGTACAGAGCACTGCATACGCAAACATGAGGCATCCATAGAAATGTGTGGGTCACAAAACCAGTATGTGTTAGTTGAAGTCCAGCAGGCATTCTCACTGTGTTGCTGCCTCAGTCTTTCTCAAGCAGGATCTTTGGCAAACTCTTTTGAACAAGACTTTACATGAACATTTCGTGTTTTCTGATTCCTTTCTTTGTAATGTTCTTCCATTAACCAAAATCTTTAGAACAGGTGATCATATATCTCTTGTGCTCTTTCCTGAGATACATGTTGAATCCTATCTGTTTCAGTAGTCTCTCTTGTCTTTTTTCAAATTTTATTCTATGACTGTGTATTCTGGCATGATCTTTAATTTATTCCAGTAGTCTTCCCATCCCTGAAAAATGCATGAGTCTTTCTGGCACATTTTCATTCATCTACGATCAATGAAACAAAGTACCTGTTTAATTTTATAAGCATTTTCTAATTACATCAGTGGAAAAGCTAACTGGACTATAGTGACGTGATTTACTTCACTCTGCATCTTCAGTCATATTTTCTTTCAGAGTTCTGCTGGAAACTCACAATGTTGGTATTTTTGCTAAATATAAACTAAGCATGAAATACCCTTTAATATCAGGTATTACTCAGGCAGTGTGCAGACTTTTGACGGAAAGAGAGTTGTGCAGATTAAACAGCTAAGGTGGTTCATGTAAATAACTTCAGGTTTGTCAGCCTTCTGAACCCAGTAACAGTATTTTCATGTGGAATATTACTCTGATGTGTATATATATCCTTTAATAAAGTTAAACAATGTTGTAACTTGGGCAACTGTCATCCCGGAACAGTGAGGAGAAGGATGTGATTTCTTCATCACTGAGTGGGAAAATTAAAGTTCAGTTAAACATCTTTTTCCATTTTGAGATATCAAATCCCTGTCAAATCTAATCTTTTGTTTATTAGGCAAATATTGTAGCTGCTAGTTTGGATCTTGAACTGTTTTGCTAGGTATTAAGCTCTGGCAATGAGAAAATCTACATGTACCTAACTTTATTTATTATGTACAACTCTTTGATTTCAAGGAGTTTTTTTCAGAATAGAGAACTTGCATTTGATCCATGTAACTTGCATTTATAAACCCCTTAAGTTCTTTTTTGCTGTTCTGCAGATATTGGTTACTTGCTTCTCTTTGTGGTGCTAGGCATTTTTTTTCTTGAATTGATCATAATTTTGTCAGTTTCCTAATTCAGGTGGCAGTAATCACACCTTTTTTCCCCCACACTTCTGATACAAATTGTGTCTAATTTCTAACACCTACACTAAGATCTCGAATGGCAGGCACTAGTCTTTTTATAAATGAAATGATTAATGACTCTCAATGTAGAAACCAAACCCCTTGACTTAGGTGTGGCTGCAGCAGAAACATCTTCTTTGCATGGAATGTTCCAACTCAACTAGTGTTTGGGATGTTTATGTGTGTGTTTTCATGGCAAGGCCCCAGCCCGCTGAAAAATCTTCCATAAGATGACTCACGCTATTATGACAGAAGGTACAGTCATTGACTATTCCTTAAAGTACATTTAATTTTATTTGTTCTTGATTACGCATAAACCCACTTAATAGTGCTATGCAAATTGATATAAAATATATTTATAATACATGACAAATAGCTTCTATAAAATTCATGCGTTTTCTCTGTAGCCTTAAAAAAATGAAAGTGTTTGCCATGATGGATGATGCTTTTAAATCTAGTGCTTACTTCAACTAATACAATTAAATAAATACGTATTAAAAGGATACTCATCACAACAGCAATTTCAACAGCTAGTAGTATTTCCATTTAGTGGACGGGTACCTCTGCAAGCTTACAGCACATAAAAATGACATTTTTTCTGTTTTAAATCGACACCACCCCCCCCCCACTATTAAACAAAAGGAAAAACGTGGCAATCTGATTTCCTGAGCCATGTTTTTTGGATGCATTTTTCTTGGGCTAAAAAAGCCTTTTACTGAGCTCTGGGAGGAAAGCTCCATTTCCTGTGGCTTTCCAAGGTATCCCCTCTACTATTTGCTAAGAGGAAAGGGTGACCTGCAGAGGGGGTCTCCAAGCCCCCAGCACCATGCACTTGCTGTGGCCAGTACCGAGTGCTTTAGCATTCAAGTCATAATGCATGTCTTTGCCCTTCCATAACTCATCAGTAGACTTGTTTTCAGTCAGCTGCGTGGCTTTCTGTCTACTTCGAAAAATCAAAGGCAGGCACTATTAAGACAGACACGAATGCCATCCTCTGTTGTATTTTCTTGTAGATCAAGACTTTAGATAAATATAGACCAGTTAATCTAGGTCAGTATGCTATGTGCTAAGTGTATAATTAACTGAAAATAGCAGTATTCATTGCATTTTTTTCTGGGTTCTTAAGGAAAAACTGGAATAACCCTATTCTGGTAGGAGTTGCAGGGATGGGAAAGTATATTTAAAAGGTGGGGAGGCATCTCACAAAGTGGCTTTTCTTCAGCTGGGGGCTGAAGCCACAGCACCAATGTAAAATGATGTATTATGCATGAGCAGTAGTTTTTATTGATTTTGTTACCCATTTCACAGTGAGAAAAATGTTGCTTCTTCTTCATCTAAATGAAAGCTTTATTCTAAGGAGATTATTGTGTCAGTGTCTCTGCAGCTTGCAGCTTGTTTTCAGGGAATAGTCAAGGCCTTTACAACTTGTCCTTTCATGTTCTGAGAGTTGGCAGCGTAAAAGATTATTCTTGGGACATTTTTATCAAGCATGAAACAAATTTAAAGAAGACGAGGAAAAAAAAATAACCAAACTAACAGTGTTACACCTAGAGAAACCTGATTCTCTTTTCAAAACTGCTGTTAAAGCAGTTTATGGCTGAAACCAGAGTGCTCAGTTTTCTAACATTGCCATTTATTTTTCATTAATTTTCTGTGCTGCTAAGAGCAATGGTGATATTGGTTTCATTGCATTGTTTTCGTTGCTCTGAAATGCAGAGAAGAATAATGTGAGCTTGATCATGCTTCCACTAAGCATATTGGAAGCGGAAAGTCCCACTGCTTTAGGAGGATTATGTTCCATGGCTAAAGTTTTATTATTAATTAAATGTTCTTTCTAGACATAATGGGTTCTGTGTTACTGTCTGTCTTACAGACTTGTTTTCAAAAAAGCACAAGAAAACCAGGGATTCTGAATGGCTGAAAAGCAATAGATTTTTATTTACAGTGTCCTTGTAGTTAGTTCAAAGACAAGGTTGTATTGAGTTTCCCAAAGTTAATACCATTTTGTTATCAAGGGAATTTGGGGTGTTGCCAAATGAAATGTTATAATTAATTTTGAACAATGTGATATTTAACAGTTTTATTTCTATCTGTTGCAATTATTTAAAGTTTCTGCTAGGTAAAGCCAAGAAGATAGTTTCTCTAGAAACAAAAATGAGAAAATTAAAGAACTTAATTTTTCACTAAAAGTTGTATGCTGATTTTTTTTTCTTTTGGTGTTTTTTGAGTCTGATTTTCAGTAGTATAGGATTTCAGTTGCAAAGGTTTCAGACCCTTGTGGCTCTGGTTAGCTTCAGTGGGATGATCTTTTGCTCAGCATCTTTGAAAGTCCCTTCCTTTCTGGTGTTATCGCTAATAGAATTCCCAGTGCTGAAAGAGGCAGAGAGTAACACACTCTGCACTGAGAACTGCATGATCTAAAAGCCAAGTCCTACACAGCAAACTTAAAGGACAACAGTAGTTTTGGTCTGTTCAGCCTGGAGAGAGGAGACTGAGAATAGACCTCACTGCAGTTACAACTTCCTCGTGAGAGGAAGAGGAGGGGCAGCCACTGATCTCGTCTGTGGTGACAATGACAGGACCCAAGGGAATGGTCTGAAGTTGTGTCAGGGGAGTTTTAGGTTGGATATTAGGAAAAGGTTCTTCACCAAAGAGTGTTCGGGCACTGGAACAGTCTCCCCTGGGAAGTGGTTACAGCACCAAGCCTGACAGAGTTCAAGAAGCATTTGGACGATACTCTCAGGCACATGGTGTGACTGTTGCGGATGGTCCTGTGCAGGGCCAGGAGTTAGACTTGATGATCCTTGTGGGTCCTTTCCAACTCAGCATACTCTGTGATTCTGAAGTTTTACATTAATTTAAAACATTAAAGCATGGATGCTGATACAGGATTGGTACAGGATAATACTTATGGGCCTTAAAAATGTTTACAGTTAAGATTGGCTTAAGACAACTATTCCATTAAAACAAGCGTGTTGTGGCTGGCAGTGGAGTTTAGCAGGATGAAGGTGTGCATGTGTAAGTGCAAGGAGCGGAGAGCTTTCTCTAAGAGAACTGGCAGCAGTGTTTAACTGAAAGGAGGACTTCAATGCCTGCTATATGAAGACTTTTTTAAAGCTCCAAGGAATAGATTAAAGTGATATTTTTTGTGACTAAACTTTGTTACTGTGTGGGTTCTGACACCTGGTGAAGAATTTGATGAAGAATGACTAAAAACTTGTAAAAGCAGTAGAAATTAACTCCCTTATGTAAAAGAGAAATAAGAGTTCAAACCCGCCCCCCCCCCCAAGGGCAGTGAAAAGGATGAGGTGTCATAATACAATGGCAGTGCACATGAATAAATATGCTTAAGAAAATAGAGATGTATACAAGGGATGGATAGAAACTTTAGCTTGTAGATAGAGAAGTGACAGTGTTGTAGTTGCTTGTGTTTCTCAGTTAGCAGTGACCTCAGCTTGTTCAGCTGATTTTAGTGAAATCCTTAAACCTCTGTTGCTGTGTCCATCCATGCTCTTGATTTGATTTACCAATACAGCAGTGATTTAAAACTGGTAAAGAGTTGTAACCAAGTGTTACTGTTCTTATTTGACAGGCCGGACCTGATAGACATGAATACCGTTGCTGTTCAAAGCAACCTTGCAAATTTAGAACATGCTTTTTTTGTAGCAGAAAAACTTGGTGTTGCCAGACTTCTGGATCCTGAAGGTAAGAGAGTTGCGGAGGGCTTTGTTGCAAAACCCCTAACATTAAAACAGAATTCAATCTGCCTGCAGGTTGTAGCATATTTGTGGGCATTCTTACAACTATGTGATAAGGCACTGTTCTGTCTTGCTCTTTCAGATGTCGATGTTTCCTCACCTGATGAGAAGTCAGTAATAACTTATGTGTCATCACTTTATGATGCATTTCCCAAAGTACCAGAAGGTGGCGAAGGCATCAGTGCAAATGTAAGTAGGAGAAAAATACTTATGCTTCATTAATAAAATTCAGGATTTCAGATCCAGAATGTTAGCTGGGTCTTCCATAGCACTGCTGTCACACTTTTCTTTGATATGATTTTTCTTGGTTGAGATTTTAGAGTCTTAGCTGTTTCATGTTGTGGACATGAAAATATCTGTGCAAAGAGCTTAACTAAAAACAATATAGCTGAAGTTGGAGAAAGATCAAGTCATAGTTTTTACTTTTCAGTCATGGGCATATACATTTTGCCTCTCTGATTCTTAACAATCTGAAGTTTACTAACCTAGAAAATACTGTGTTTTCAGTGGAATTATTTGGGACCAAAACCAAAGAATGAAAGCACGTATTTGGAAACTTTAAGTGATCTGTAATGAGCAAGTAAATATCATTTCAGAATTGCAGGATTTCAAAATCTCTTTTTATATTTGTGAAGGCCTCAGTCTTCAAATCTGAAGCAGAAGTGATGTCTCAGATGATTTTCATCTGCTTTGTAATCTGGGTTTTGCTTTGGCAGGATGTTGAAGTCAAATGGGTTGAATATCAGAATATGGTGAACTACCTCATGCAGTGGATCAGACACCATGTCACGATAATGTCTGACAGAACATTTCCCAACAATCCTGTGGAATTGAAGGTGAGATGTGATGGCTAAAACTTCTTGTTAGAGTTATGCTTTATGTTACTGACTCAAAGGAAACTTGAACAAATTATGTGCTTACTGATTTATACAATTAAATTAACTGTAGACCAGTTGATCTTTTCTCTGATCTTTGAACTCCTTGATCTTCTCAAAGTACAATAAATACATTATTAACACATGGACAACCAAAAGAAAATCTTGTGTTTGGCACTGATCATTTTTTGTAGAACTGTGGTAGAACAGTATAAAGGTAAGCTTGTGAAGAATATTAGGAGAGACTTTAGAGAAGAAGGTTATATTAACTGTAAGTAAAAGCTGCTGATGTTTTTTTTTGTTTCTGTAGGCACTTTATAATCAATATTTACAGTTTAAAGAAACAGAAATTCCACCAAAGGAGACAGATAAATCGAAAATTAAACGTCTATATAAACTTCTAGAGGTAAGTTTTAGCATGCACTGAAATGTATAGAAGTTCCCTTTCTGTGGCTTAAAATAACAAATGCGTATGAATTGTTAAGGTCTGGATAGAATTTGGACGCATCAAACTTTCTCAAGGCTACCATCCAAATGATATAGAAAAAGAATGGGGAAAGCTTATTATTGCCATGCTGGAAAGAGAGAAGACCCTTCGGCCTGAAGTGGAGAGGTACGCTAGTGAATGTTTGACAGGCTTGGTTAATATATTTTCTGTTGTTTTAACCCATACTGAAATGTGTAAATACCTTCTTGCATGATAAATTCCACATTATTTTACTAGATCAAGTAATTCTACTTTTGTTCAAGGCCTGAAGTTCTTTACCTGCTTCATAGAGGCAGGTCCAGACAGAAATAAATTCTGTGGTCTGACGGTCGAGGTGAACAGTATCTGTACCTCAGATCATCAAAGCACTTACACACAAATATAACCACCTTCTTTGTAGAGTTACTCAGAGCTGGCTTTATATCAGTTCACTGTCTCATATAAGCACCATCCTCATCCTTTACATGAAATGTGTATTTCACTTGCTGCACAGCATTGTGGGCTAACGTCCTGTTTAGAGGTTGTTTGAATTAGTATTACTCAAGAGCACACAAAATACTTAGATGTGCAAAATGCATAGTTGTCTTCCATGGTAGTAGGTAGGATGTCTGACACTGTTTTGTATATCACTAGTAATATACTAGCATACTAGCAAATTACTGAGCATAATCAAAATTTTAATGCAGTCTGAGAGCATTTTTCCTTTTTAATGGTATTTCTTAAGTTCTCTGGCAAATACAGGTGCTAACCATTCCTTAATTGAGAAAAACCCTATTTTCTTTAAGTGCTTTTTGGGGCTTCTGTGTATGGGTCTGGATTCATTCTGTTTAACTTTAAGCATCCAGACACCTAAGATCTGAATCACTTTCTAGAGAATCCTGTTACTGACTTTCTGGTGACAATAGGGTGATCTTTCTCCTGGCTTAGGTACCTGAAAGTCGGAATGAAGAATCCAGATCATTGTATAGGAATTCCTCAGAAAGAGACAGATTTCAGCCAGAGAAGATCCCAAAGACTAAATTATTATGTCATCATAATATCATAAATATATATGATTTAATATGTGTCATGCTTACAAAAGCAAGAGCATGACTGAAACACCAGATTCAGTGGGAGGTGTTGATTGACAGCACCCTACTATGGAACAAGTTCCTACAGAGGAATACCAAGTTGTCCCCTGCAATACAGAGGTTGCCCCCTTTATGCAGAGCAGAACACTGGAAAGCAGCAGCAAAAATACAGCCTGCTAGGTCTTGTAGCTTAATCTGTCCCAGGCTGCCAAAAGCAAAGTTAGTGTCTGGTTTCACCAATAGAAATTCTGTTCATACTTGCAGAAAGCTGTATTATCTTTGTTGAGAAAGTGTGTAAATGATGTTAGTTTATTTCTTTTTTATTAATATGGATGGAGCACAGGTAAACAAACATGAACCTAAGCTCCTTCCCGTATTTCAGGAATGGTAAACATACTTAGAGTGACAGATCATATAGTGATAGTCACTACATGTGGTGGTCCCTGTACAATGAGAGAGAAAATTTCTTCAAGTGATTCCAGCTTAATCACCAAGTTAAAATTATCAGATGTTCTGGACACAAGAACGTCATCCATATCTGTTGTATTGGTTATTAGTGCATCTCACTAATATGAGGTGTTGATAGAGCTCCTGGACTGAAATTTGATAGTGGTAAAAATGTGACCTCTGATATTGAAATTTGGTAAAGTAATAAAACTTTGCTGCGATCTGGTGAACACACCGGAAAGTATCAACACAGATAGACAATGTGTGGCCAGATTGGTGTATGGGATCGAACTTAATATGATGTCAATGAGGAGAGTGCCAGACTGAGTTCTAGTTTGCAAAACTAGCTGAGTTTGGCGTGCAGCAGGGGTGTGTCTGTGCCTTTGCTGTTCTCTTCTGTGTAAACAGTCACCTTGTGGGGTGGGTGTGGTTATTCAGGAATCCTAAAAGCAGGGGGTGAAATACTGAAAAAAAATCACCCCTCGCCCAGGTTCTGAGTTAAAATGTAAACGGAAGAGCAGTGATCAGATTTTTCTTACTTGTTTTGTGGTCAAAGCAGCAAGAAGCAATTGTCTGTGAATGTAGAAGAAGGTGAGGAGAATTTTTCAGGACAAAATAGTGGGACAGGGCAGTTAGTAAACATGTGCTTGGTCAGTGGAGTAATGATGGTGGGTTGGATGGTGTACAGGTGTCTCAGATTATATTGTTATGAGCTGATTAACCGTGATACTCCCCCAGTTTCATTGTGCTATTCCGTTTGAAGAAAAAGGAGTCAGCCCAACCAGAAGTTATTTGTACTGAACTGTTGGGTGAGGATTTCTCACTTCACTTGTTTTTGAAACTTTTCACTGAGGAGTGAGAAACACTGCGAAGAGTTCTTTTAGTTCTTACTTGGCTTTATAGTTATTTAATGACACTTAAATAAAATATTTGGCATGTCTGTTTCCTAGAGACGCCCTGATGTTGCTGCCTAGTCTGTACTTGCAGAGCTTTATTGCAAGGTAGAGAAGCCAAAAGCAAGGTAGCATACATAGCCTCAGGTACAATCCTTTGAAGAGCTGGCAGAATATTAATTGCTGGGTTTTGAATGTGCGCACTCAAGCCTATTTAAAGGAGGAGTGCTAGGTGTTTCAAAAGCCAGTAGTGGAACTACATCCCTAGAAGCTGTACATTTTGTAGGAGTTTTATCTTTTCATTTTCCAGCAAATGTAAACAGCCAGAAGGACTGTGGTCTGGATGTAAAAATGAATAGCAGTAGTTATAGCTATCATAGCAGCGATTCACTGTTTAGCAACAGTACTAGTACTCGAACCAGCGTTGATTCTAACGAGAATTTCCTTTCTGTTAATTGTGGTCCCACGCTGATTAAATCTTGCATAAGCTTTGGTAATGGCACCTTAGAAGGGAACAGGTAACTTGGCATATGTATTTGTGCTTTATGTTAGATGCTGTTGATTAATTTCTTCATTTTTGGAGTCATACAAGATGATCGGTAAATATAAATAACTTTAATACTTATTGATTTTTCTGAAAAACTTTGGCATCACCTAGGTTGGAAATGCTGCAGCAAATTGCAAACAGAATTCAGCGGGACAGTCGGAGCTGTGAAGATAAACTGATACTTGCCCGGAATGCTCTGCAGTCTGTAAGTCAGTCAGTGATTTTACTTGTCTGTATTCGTGAAGCAGTAGAATGGCTACTTAAAAAAAGATTCTTAAGGATTTTTGAGTGCAACCTTAATAGGTGCTACTTTTATTGTTGTTGCACTGTTAATACAGCATTTCTTCAAGAAAATACCACAAATTGCCTAGAGTGAGTTGTGTTACCTTCTCTTTTTGTCAGTAGTTAGATAAAATCCTTTGTTAGATAAAAGCACAATTGTTTTGAGATAAGAATAAGTTTTTACTAGAAAAAAATAAAATTAGGAATTCTTACAGCTGATTTCCCTTTGGTTTAGCTGCAAGGCTTAATGAATTTCTCTTATTCTATTAAGGACACCAAGCGATTAGAGTCAGGGCTCCAGTTCCAACATGAAGCAGAGATAGCTGGCTATATTCTTGAATCTGAGAACCTTCTCCGTCAGCAAGTGGTTGATGCCCAAATTCTTATTGATGGAAAATACTATCAAGCAGACCAGCTTGTTCAAAGGTACTTTACAGTGTGTTTTTGTAAACAAGTAAATGTCCCAAGTGTGGATACTGCGTACGGACAAGATTTTCTGTTCTTTATGTCTGTGGATAAACTTACCAATCTGTCACTGGGCACCCAAATGTCAGGTAATTTGGTGGGTACATTGCCTACAAATATTGAAGACAAGAGAAGCTGTTTGTACTCCTTTGTGAAAATGAAGTGATTTCCCTGAACATGTCTTAATGTTTAATGTTTACTAGATATCTGTGTGTAAAGAGGTTAGCTTGTTTTACTGCACCTAAAATGTGTTTAGAATTCACTAACTTTGACTTTTTTTAAATGGAGGAAAGATTTTAGGTGATAAATGTAGATTTATTAACAGTTAATAAGTGGGGTAACATGAAGTTACATATGTGGCAGTGTGTAGAGTCTTGGCAGAAAAAAGCATTTAAACAGGATAATTCAGTTTTATGAGAAGTTTTTTCAGGATCTGTCCTGGACTGGTTGAGATCAAGCACATAGCTCCTTGGCAGTGAACTGCAAGTGTTTGATCTACTGCAACATGTAGTGTCTTGTAAGATTTCTGGTTCGCTGATTGTTCACTGGAATTGTATATAGTGCATGTTAGTGCCCATACCATGCTGATTTTTTTAGTCATTGCCAGATTTCTTCATCTATTATCTATATAGAAGTATCAGCTGACATACCCTTTACTGTCTGATAGAAGAGTTTTTTTATAAATATTGAAGTGTGACTAAAGTGTAAGAGATCATGTGAATTCAAATCAGTTCAGCATGATAAACCTTAATCATAAGCATTCATTGAAATTATTTTTATTTCTTTTTTCTTTTTTTTTTTTTTTTAATAGAGTTGCAAAACTTCGTGATGAACTGATGGCCTTACGGACTGAATGTTCTTCTGTGTACAACAAGGGGCATGCACTGACCACAGAGCAGACAAAGCTTATGATATCTGGAATAACCGAAAGCCTAAACTCAGGATTTACAACTAACCTAACCCCTGAATTAAATGCTATGACCCAAGGTTTAACACCTCCTTTGACTTCTTCCAGCTTGACATCTGGCCTTTCATCAGGTCTTACATCCAGACTGACACCAACCATCACTCCCACTTACCCCCCAGGTGTCCCCCCACGGTTAGTCCAGAGCTATGTGACAGGAGTAGACAGTGGGACTCTGCAAACACTTAAACTGATGCAAATCAGAAAACCTCTTATGAAATCAGCTTTTGTGGATCAGAATTTAACGGAAGAAGAGGTGAACATGAAATTTGTCCAGGACCTATTGAGCTGGGTGGAAGAAATGCAGGTACCCATCTTTATGGAAACAGTCCACTTTTAGTTATGTTTACTTCTTATAGAACATGGCTAATTTTTAACTCCTCTTTGTAAGGTGCAACTTGATCGAACAGAATGGGGTTCAGATTTGCCAAGTGTTGAAAGCCATTTGGAAAATCACAAAAATGTCCATAAAGCTATTGAGGAATTTGAATCCAGCCTTAAAGAAGCCAAAATGAGTGAGGTACTGCACCATATTCTTTATTTCTTTGGTTAATTTCTCACTGGGTGACCCATAAACTAATGTTGAATTTTAAAACTGTTTGGGTTTCACACTCTTACTTTTACTTCTGATCTCTAGATGACTTTTGATGAAATCAGGAGATATAATGGTTTAACATATCTACCTTTTTTTTGTCTTTTGATCTTATATACCAAATACAGATCCAAATGACTGCTCCTCTTAAACTCAGTTATGTGGAAAAACTACACAAACTGGAGAGTCAGTATTCAAAGCTCTTGGTAAGTTCATCATTCCTCTTCCATGTTCGTCTTTTCAGTGTGCATAATCTCTGCATAATCTAATCATAAGGGGTGAACTTTAAATTCTGATTCTTGTAAATATTTTTCTTTTCTTTTTATTAAAGAATACATCGAGAAATCAGGAAAGGCACTTAGATACTCTTCACAATTTTGTGTCTCGTGCTACTAGAGAACTGATATGGTTGAATGAAAAAGAAGAGGAAGAGGTTGCATATGACTGGAGTGAGAGAAACTCCAATATAACAAGAAAAAAGGAATATCATGCAGTATGTATTTTTAGTATAATCCAGAGAGAATAATTAAGTAATCTTTGATAATTTAAGACATTTCTAATACTTTCTTTCCCTTTGTCTCAAAAAAGGAATTGATGAGAGAACTTGATGAAAAAGAAGAAGTTATAAAATCAGTACAAGAAATAGCTGAACAGTTGCTTCTTGAAAATCACCCAGCCAGGCTAACCATTGAGGTAAGTTAGTAAAAACAGCACAGAAACAGGAAAAGTTTTGGGGTTTAACAGAGCTTAATTTTGGGGAAAAGAAGGGAAGTACTAACTTAGAGGAAATTAAACAAGACTCTAAATAAAAGGGCCTTTTTTTTCTTTCTTCTTCAGCATCTCTGTCGTATCTGTATTCCAGTTTCCAAAAAATAAACACACTTTTATAAGGTTATAGTTACATCTTGGATTGCTTACATGAAATCCCCCTAAACTCTAAAATTAAAATTTTCAGAGTTGGTCTGTACAGATGTTTCTGATTATGCATGCAGCTTCTAGTATTATTGATACAAATTGCATTGGCAGGCTGAGGGCACAGAACAGTCCTTATGCGGTTTCTTTCCTGTTGGATTGAAAGAAGTTTCAGTAAGAGCTTTTCTAGTAATTTACTCTATCTGCAGGTTCCTATTATGATTTAGGGTTGGTTTCATAACTTATTTGTCAGTCAATTATGAAACCTGTTTGGATGTTAAAAATCTGACCAGTGGTGTGATTTACTTCAGTCTTGAATCAAGCCCTATGTTACACATACAGAGAATTTACTATAGCTGTTGTAGGGTCATAACAGGTTTCCAAAGGAGAATGTAAAATGTTTTTCCTTTTAGATCTTCAAGAAAAGAGTAGATACAGACACTAGGTGGTAAACATTGAAACAGTGAATAGCTGATTTATTATATAAGAATAAAAAATGTCAGAAAGAATGGATTTTTATTGTTCTTCAGCTCAGTGAGTTCACATCTGCCCAAATCAGGAAACTTGAAGAAAACTCCTCCCTTCCTTCCTTCTCTCAGTAAAAATGACTTTTTATGTAATGTGGGAATTTCTATTCCTTAACAGTATATGCTGTTCTAAGGGTTTCTTATCAGTGGAATATACTAATATATTAAAGATGCATATTATGAAACCAGGCCACCACAGTGACGATGACTGTGCAGGTTATTCTGTCTCCAGTAATGCTACACTGGGATATTTATAAAAAATAATAATAAAAAAATCCTTTTTTTACAGAAGAACCTAGGCATTAATACATCACTTTCAAATTCCTTGAAGCCAATGGAAAAGCTGTTTTGAATTCCCTGAGAATCGGAATTGAAAATCCGAAACCTGTGGATGATTTCCCGGGGGCGAGAGCGCCCCCTGCTGGGGAAGGCGATTTTAATTCCTGAGCGATCGTCACTAAATAATCTGTTTCAGCGAACCCTGATTATTTCTTTTTTAATTATGTAGTCAGTGATACTTTGATATCGATATATGTCCAGGAAAGAATGCATCTATTTTGATTGAGTAAATAGAGATACAGAATTGTAGATGAGCTTAAACTGGAGGAACCTTTGGAGTTGTACTCCAGCTCTTGCTTGAAGCAGTGTCAGGGATTTGTTTGGCCCAATTCTGACCAAGTCAGAGGATGGTGATTTCACAGCCCCTCTGAGCAAGTTTTCTTATGTTTGACTACGCTGTAGTGACAGAGTTCTTATCCTCACACCTAATTGGAATTTTTCTTGCTGCAGCTTGCTTTTCTAGGGCTAGGAGGTCAGGTTTAGCTTCTTCTGTTTGCTGCGTTGCTTTCATGCTTGCTAAAGGTATTCAAGTTTTAATTTCCATTTTTAAAATATATCTCTCTTCCTTAAAGGCCTATAGAGCTGCAATGCAGACCCAATGGAGCTGGATTCTCCAGCTCTGTCACTGTGTTGAACAACATTTGAGAGAAAATGCTGCATATTTTGAGGTAAGAAAGTAAATCAATAAAAATGTGAAATATATATAAATATATGTATTATATATATAAAATATATATGTCCTAGATGGTTATTCTAGGACTTCTCAAAAAGAAATAGAATGTGCAGTATTAATAATAAATGGAACACGCTGACAGCAGACATGTCCAGTGAAACACCCATCTGTTTGTCTGATTATCACCCATTCATATACATAGCAAATGATGCAGAACTCAGTTCCTGAGTTTTTGTTTTTGTTTTTTTTTTTCTTTTTAAAAATTACTTTTTGAAAACATTTAAATTATAAAGATTAATCTTTAGTGTCTTCTGGATTGGATGACTGCAGATAAAAAGGGAGTGATGTTGGGTTGAGATTCCTTTGGGCTGAGAAGGATGGAAGCCCAAAGTGAGGGAAAGGCCACTGGAGAAGACAAAGCAATTGTTGCTCCTAGTGGTCAGGGTAAGAAATGGGAATTCTGGCTTTAAGCAATGAGGTTTAAGGGACAGAATGGGATGAGGATTATCACAGGACATTTCTCTTCCCAACTGTGCTTAACGAGGATCTAGTTTGGGGGTGCAGATGCCCAAGCAGAACTGCCAAGTGTGGCAGCTCACTTCCCTCTCTACACAAAATGTTTGCTCCTCTGGTCCCTGGATTTTGCAGTAAGTTTCCACACTTTGTCGGTTCTTTATATATGAAAGTAATTGTAATTCTAAGGAAAGCTTGACTTCAGAAAATTTTTAAGTTTCAGGAACAGTAATTAACTAAGGTTCAATAACTGCTTGATTAATATTACATGTAGATGGTACCAAGAATAACTTGGTGTGCCTTCTAGAAGAGTACATTTAGACATGAAGTCATGAATCTCTCTCAAGTGTGGTGCAGTGGTCACTTAAAGCAACTAGAAGGGGTTATTTTTAAGAAGTCAGCACTTGAAATAAATGTTGGTGTAGCTGATTGTATACTTTTTAGGTTGTTTAAAAGTAACCCTGGTATTTATCCTAGTTTTTCAGTGATGCCAAAGAAGCCATGGAATATTTGAAGAATTTGAAAGATACTATATACCGAAAATACAGTTGTGATAGATCAAGCAGTGTTCATAGGCTGGAAGACCTTGTCCAGGAGTCCATGGTAAGAATTCAAGAACCCTATTAACAAGAGTTACAATGAAATCAGAAATGTGTTGAATTATAGTTGGATATAAAATGTATTAAGATTATTCATTTAAAGTGAAGGAAAAATAGTTCATATTTCAGAACTTATAAGTAAATAGTTGTATTTATCTGTTTGCAAAGAGTGTTTTTCACAACTTTAAAACACGGTATTATTTATTTCTTTATATTTACAATGCCAGATGGGGGAAACCAATGGCTACAGAAAGATACTTTGTTCTTGTAAAATGTATTACTTTTAAGATACACTGTAGAAGGAGTCAGGAAAAATAAAGTTCAACAGGATCAAAGAGGCAACACTGAATTCTGGCCATCTCTTATGACGTATTCTTTTCTTAACTGTTCTAGGAAGAAAAAGAACAACTCTTGCAGTATAAGAGCACAGTAGCAGGCCTTGTGGGGAGAGCAAAGGCAATAATTCAGCTGAAGCCAAGAAACCCCGACTGTGTACTCAAAACATCCATCCCGATTAAAGCCATCTGTGACTATAGACAAATCGAGGTTAGAAACTTGAATTTCTTCAAACCAATTACAGATGTGAGAATTCAGCTAAGATTTTGTTAATTACCATGTTCCTGGAGAAGCTAGGCTCTAAATTTCTTCCACCCTAGTAAACAAGAGCAAATCCCTGTGTTGGAACATTGGTTTTGTTGTTCTGTTGCTTATTTGTAGACACCATTTGCAGAAGTGCTTTGTACAATTATTTCGTAATGCTTGACTCATCAAATTATTCTGCTTTTCTGTTAATATTAGATAACTATTTACAAAGATGATGAGTGTGTGTTAGCAAACAACTCCCATCGTGCTAAATGGAAAGTCATTAGCCCAAGTGGTAATGAGGCCATGGTTCCATCTGTGTGCTTTACAGTTCCTCCACCAAACAAAGAAGCAATAGATACAGCCAACAGGTAGGGACAAAACAAAACTGCCTATTTTTCTGTTAAAATTAATTTATATGAAGCTTGGGTTAAGAGAATATCTCACAGGAGTTTTTTGTGGGTTATTTTTTTTCTTTTTCATGTGTTACCCTGATCTAAATTTGTTTGTTTGTTTGTTTGTTTTTCATATTTCAGGATTGAACAACAATTTCAGAATGTTCTGGCCCTTTGGCATGAGTCACATGTAAACATGAAGAGTGTGGTGTCCTGGCATTACCTGACAAATGAAATCGAAGCTGTTAGAGCTGGCAATGTTGCCTCGGTATGTGCTATGAGTAGGAAGGGCTCTTAACCATTTGCTGGGAAGTCATAGGATGCACTTCCTGGAAATGTATAATCAGTGATTTGCAGCAATCCTCATCTTTCTTGTGGGATTAGCTGGCAGCAGAGGCCGTTCTGGTTACCAGTGTGCAATGTTCTGTCCTGATCTGAGCAGTCTTTTCACAGCTAGGTTTGGGGAAGGAGCAGAGTGGTGGTGTCAGGAAAACTGCTTGCAGCCTGGTCTCCTGTTGTGAGCAGAGACCTCTTGGAAGCAATGAACACTAACTAAATCCTGCATTTTATGCTGCAAAGGTCTAGCTTTCTGCATTTATGTTGAAGATATCTGAAGATAGCCTAATGAAGATTAGCTTCATTAGGCTAAGGTTTATCTTCCTGAAGATGACCATTATTTCATCATGCTTCAACTTCTGACTAACAGTGGAACAACTGTTAAGTAACATTTAGTCTTTCAAGCAGAAGACAGCTGAACACTTATTCCTCCATAATGCATTTTTTCATTCTCGTACGTATCTGTAACTTGAAATGTTAAATAGCTAGTTAGGCCCAATCTGTCAGAAATGAAATAGTGATATAGATCAAATTACTGTTCTTTCTGGCTAAAACAGTGGGTAAGATCACAAACCATTACCATAATATTTGCAGTACCCAAAACGACATTTTCCCTCCTAATCTATCACTGTTACTGTTGGAAAGAGGAATCTGAGATAATTCTTGAGGTGTCCCTACTTGTATGACTCTTGGTGCTTGTTTGTTGCTGCTTGGTCATCAGATGATGTCTGATGTAGGTTTGTCTTATCACAGCCCATTACTGTCATTAAAGATGAGAAAGGATTTTATGGTGAGTGTCAACTGTCAACTGTCAAGTGGACTCCAGCTTAGGAACACTAAGCTTTCACAACCTCAATTCTTTGACCTCACCATCTTAGTAATTTGTCTTTATTGTTTTTTGGTAAAAAGCGTTACTGGGAACTGTGTGAGTGATGGATCATTGCTGACTGTGCTTTGGGTTTGTAATCTGTTGCAGATAAAGACGATGCTACCAGGTGAACATCAGCAGGTTCTAAGCAATTTGCAGTCCCGCTTTGATGATTTTTTGGAAGATAGCCGGGAGTCCAAAATCTTTACAAGCTCCGATACAGCACAGCTGGAAAGGGAAGTTAATGTTTGCAAGCAATACTATCAAGAGCTTCTTAAGTCTGCAGAAAGAGGTAAAACTCAGTTTAGAGCACTAGAAAGATTCCCTCATGAAAGAGATTTTAGTTGTTGATCCTGAGATCTGTTTTATCATATTGATATTGTTGTCACCTCTGTTATTTTGAACAGAGAGTTGTTTTAACAATGTGCACAATTATATTGTACTGAAGCTCTAATTTTTTTATTTTGTCTATATTAACCTATGCACCAAATATTGTTGTTACTTAATATATAGAGTACTACACAAATTTTACACTTAAGAATTTATTACATGCTTTACAGCTCACTGTTTAGTCCCACCTGTCTTGTTTTTGAATGCTGAAAATACAACTTGATTACTTTGTTGATTTCATAAGAGAATGAAAATTTTTTTCGAACTGTTAAGGCAAGAAAAGCATCCTAGGTATTTCTCTAGCTTTACAGAATGCTTGTAGTTACTGTTCTCTTAACACTCTTTTTGAGAATAGAAAGCTTAAAATGTCTGTTCTGATTTACTGTTGAGTAGCTAATGATTTCAAGAAATACAGTAGTGCAAAGCTGCTTACTTTATTAGCACAGTTCACTGCACTTCAGGAAAGATGTGTTACCCTGTGCACTGGAAAGAGAGAATTTAATGTACCTGATATCACTAATTGAGAGAATCAGTCACTGAGTTTAGCAAAGTCTGCAGATGGTTGATGCCTGTGTCTGGGATGCATGGCCACAGACAAAAGTTTTTCATGGGTGAAGAAATCATCTAATAATAACAAAAATTAAGGATTCCTAAAATCTTCCTTAAAGCCAAAATTCCAATGGAAACTGGTTTCATTTCAACCAGTCTCAGAAGGACCTCACACAGAAATCACACAGCGTATGCCAAGTTGGAAGAGACCCATAAAAATCATTGAGTCCAAGTCTTGTAGAATGATGACTTTATGAAGTGTTTCATGAGATAATATGTTGAAAATGACATGATGACTTTGCTTGCTAACATGGGCCTTATTTCTTTCAACAGAGGAGCAGGAAGAATCTATTTACAATCTGTACATCTCTGAAGTCAGGAATATCAGACTACGGCTAGAGACTTGTGAGGAACGGTTAATACGGCAGATCCGAACACCAATGGAAAGGGATGATGTACATGAAAATGTGCTTAGGATTTCAGAGCAAGAGGTGGGCCTTTGAGAAAGGCTGTTTTACCTAGGAAAAGAGCTTTATTTAAAAACAAATATACGCAGATATTTTGAGTGTAGCCAGGAAGATTTACACTGCACCTTGTAAAGATGAGTCAAATATAATGCTTGTGTTTGTGAGAAAGAAAATGCTGATAAATGATGACTCTGTTAGTTTCCCTATTATAAATGTATATCTTTTTATTTTTTTTAATGTTGTCCACATGAAACAAGCAAAGGGCATATCTGTACTGATAGTGGTATGTAGAGTATATATCAGGTTGATGTAGGATGAAAGCACTGTCAATCACCTTTCGTTTTACAGAAACTGAAGAAAGAACTGGATCGACTGAAGGATGACTTGGGAGCCATCACAGATAAATGTGAAGAGTTTTTCGGTCAAGCTGCTGGTTCACCTTCAGTCCCTACCCTGCGCTCTGAGCTCAATGTTGTTATACAAAACATGAATCAAGTTTATTCCATGTCTTCCATTTTCATAGATAAGTATGTACTAGGGTATCTTCCATCACACCTTTTAGTTCACAGTTTTCTCTTCAAAATAAATTGAAGATATGAGTATGAATAATATTAATCTAGGAAAGCAGAGTTAATATTTAACACTGTATAAAAGGGGTGCCTCATGACATGAATAGACTGAAGAACACAAGTGTGTTGAATGTTGTTATTGATGGTTCAGTTAACAGGAGATTTCTGTTTTTCAGATTAAAAACTATAAATTTGGTCCTGACAAACACTCAAACAGCAGAATCATTAGTAAAACACTATGAAACTAAGTTGTGTGAAGAAGAGGCAGTAATGGCTGACAAAAACCATATTGAAAACCTGATGGGTACATTAAAGGTAAGTGTTGGCTGGTGCCTTCTCATGGGCAAATCAAAAAATAAGAGAAATTAATCTGTCTCGTAGCACCTGACTTGGTTATGCTATACTGTATAGTGTATAAAAAATTGGCTTGTGTATTTAGTTTTAGTCTTTATTGGGGTTGACATCTCAGAAAAAACTTACTTTGGAACCTTAGGAACTGGGTAGTTTGAAAACCTGTTCCTGCTGTTACGAAGTGCTGTGTAGTGTCTGAACTTCCAAGCGTGGCACTTGTTAATGCAGTAAGATTTTTTTCTCTTCACAAGGTAGCATATACATAGGTAACATAAACATAGAGTTATATTTATGTTATCTAAACATGACCACAATAGCAATCCTAGTATTGCTATAGTATACTAATCAGAGTTTCCTAGGAAGCTGGGCATATATCTTTGAGAAATGGAAAGGTTGAACTTAAGCATTTTTTGTTTGTTTTATATACCTCATTTTGATATTGCAAAATATGAGCAATGCTTTTTTTTCTGTTAGAATGATTGGCATCTACCTAATGATTTCTTTTAAAGCTGTAGTTTATAAGGTAATTGTGTTAATTTGATAACTGTTAATTTGATTTACATGTCTTAGGGATTGCTGGTACGTGGAATTATTTTGCATTTTATAGCTTTTAGTTGCTTCAGACCCATTCTGGCACCATTTAAGTATTTGAGCAATCAGAAGTAAAATATTAATTAAAACATTGTTATTGATTAATTTATACATTTTACTCATATAAAATACTAATTTATAAAATAGTGTCATAATTTATGAGTTATTTACAATTTCTCATTTCTCATATACTAGCAATGGAGATCGGAAGTAGATGAAAAAAGACAAACATTCCATGCCTTAGAGGATGAACTGCAGAAGGCAAAGATGATTAGTGATCAGATGTTTAAAATGCACAAGGAACGTGATCTTGACTTTGACTGGCATAAAGAAAAAGTGGACCAGTTGGCCGAGAGGTGGCAAAATGTTCATTCTCAAATTGAAAATAGGTTTGTATAACGTTTTATTATAAATTGTTCATGTTCTATACTGGCTTTATTATTTCTAAAGAAAAGCAATCAGAAATTCATGCTAAAATAAGTCTGAATAGTTTTCTGTGCTGGTTTTGTGCTGTTGACATCGTTGCCTTACTTTTCCACAGGAAATGTCTCTGACTATTAAGCACCAAAAGATGAACAAGATTATTTAGTTACAACTTACCGATACACAGTAGAGACAAATTGTCTTTTTTCTTCTTCTTCAAAAAAAAAAAACAGACAGAAAAAGCCTGCAGAAAGGGCTGGCAGTCCTATGGAAATACCATCTGTTTCTTTATATAATTAGTTCTGACAGGCTAAACTGATGAACTGATTCATCAGTTATGATTGGACTAATGTTAATTTGCTTTTAATGATTCAAGTGCTAAATTTGGAAGTCCTTAGCTTCCATTGACTTCTGTGATGGTAATTTTGGTGCAATAACTTTTTGGTGAGTTGCCTTTTTTTTTTTTTTTTGGGGGTGTGTGCACAACCTCAATATCCACTTGAGATGCTGCTCTAAGTTCAAGCCTTAACTGTCAAGTTGATATTGAAAAATATTACTCAAATGCACACCTACACTGATACAGCAGAACACACCTCCCTGGAGTTCTGAAGGCGATGTCCATACTTGACAGTCCAGGAAATACTTTTTTCTTCAGTCTCTACAGTTCTGTTTCCTGTATGTGAAGGAAGCAGAACTGTAGAGACTGAAGAACAAAATATGAGCAAGTTGAGGAAGTCTGTACTATACAGTCTGAATTTATTTTCTTTAAAATGTACTTCAGTTTATCATTATAGATAACCTGAACAAGAGCATTGAAGATAGTCCTGTTGATGTAAAAGTTCACAAAACAGCCTGTCACATTTTCATCCTTCTTATCTAAGGGGTGAATATCCATTCAGGTGCAATACTGAAGTTTTTCACTTGCAATTAACTAATGTAATTGTGTCTGTTTAACATTGGTGGAAGTTAGATGGAAGATGAGAAAAAGCCAGCTCACTTAAAGCTAACTGCAGAATGACTAGCTTTAAATCCACCTCAGATTTTTCATCATTTTATATTTTAACGTAATTTAAATGATTAAACAGTGGTTTTAAGAGGTACTGAAATTTCCTTATTTCCTTGGAGAGTAAGCATGAACCACATGCTTTCCTCACAGGACTCCATCCTGAATAGACTGTGCTGGAAAATGGCTGTTAAAGCGTAGTGGCTTCTCATATAAATAAGACAGACTGTGGTAGTTGCAGCACAGAGCTGTAAACAGGCTGCTTTCTGCAAATGTTATCTCTGCTTGCTTCCTACCAGCTTAACAGTGATGATCATTATACAGAAAATATGTACAAATATTGGCTGCAGTTATCATGATCTTTTCTCTTTTTCATGGTTATTAACTTTTAAACATGCTTAAGTATGAAACCTGAGTAATACCATTTCCTTTGCTTGCTCTTTTTGGTATCCTGAGAACAACACTAGAGCAATTCCAAGTATTCATTCCTAGTCAAACTGTAAAATGTTGTGTAATAAGTATGTTTATCCTGCAGTGTTGAGTGGCCATATTTATATGAGCTTTTAAGTAGAATCTTAGAATATCCTGAGTTGGAAGGGACCGACAAGGATCGAGTGTAACTCCTGGCTCTGCGCAGAGCAACCGCCAAAATCACACCATGATATATGTGTAACAGTGTAAGGATCACGAAGGAAGAAGTGTCATATTTCCATCAGTATGAAAATGAATGACAAAATACACAGAACTCTCTTTATAGGCCAAAACCATGATTTAAAAATGGACATACAGAATTGATTACTTTCGCGCATTAGCGGTCTTCAGTTTTAGTGTAAATCGGTTGTTTTGTGGAGGCACAGAGTGTACGATGAACTGCTACTTAACTCCAGCACAGCACACTTCTTCTTGACCTGTAGGTCGCATTTGAAATACTCTTACTTTTTGTAACAGAATTGAATGGAGTTGCAGAGCCCTCCCTCTTCCTTGGGCTTTCCTGCACTCATTGAGTTTCAAGCAGATGAGCACACTAATAAGGGATATATGCAGAGTTTCTTCTGTAATCTCTCCTGGATCTCTCCTGGATGTCCTTTACAACAAATGAAAAGGCTTCATGAAGCTGGGAGCCTGGCTGTTTGAGAAGTGAATTTGCTGTTTATTAAGTTTTATTTTAGTATGTTCCAAGTGTTTTTTGTCTTTAATAATCATCTTCTCCTCCTTTACCTATCTTCTAAAATAAAATCAGGTTGCGTGACTTAGAAGGTATTAATAAATCTCTGAAGTATTATAAAGATACTTACAATTCTTTGGATACTTGGATTCAACAAGTGGAAGATACTCAGCGAAAGATTCAAGAAATACGTCCTGAAAATAGCAAAGCTTTGGCTAAACAGTTGAACCAACATAAGGTATGAAAGGGATGTCCATGTGGGAAAGCACTGCTGTAATGACCAAAGAATTATAATATCAGTTTAAGCCAGTGATGTCAGTCTTGTTTATTGTGAGGTGCTTGTATCCATCTGCCCCTACTGTAAAATTCCAAGTAATCATAAGATTATATGGTTTCCTCTTTATAATGCAGCCATGGATATATCACTGATGATTGTCATTTTATAGACCAGAATGTTTGGTCCTCAAATTTGCAAAGAAGATCAAAACCTTAAAAATTCTGGACTGTCCTTATCACATAATTTTGTATTCAGTACTGCTGTTAGTGTTTATGGGTGTGGAAATGTTTTTATGGAAGCTTAACAGCTGTCTCCTGCAAGAAGGAAATGCAACTTAAATAGGAGACAGAATAACAAACTATATGCGTGAAATGGTATATTCCTGATTTTGGTTTAAGTTCACTTAAACCTGGCAGGTTTTTTCACTTTTTTTGTACCTTAAATCTGATGAAGCCCAGGACATAGGCTTGAGCATAATTACTTGAACACACATGGATAGGAACATATTGGATGTTTGATAAACTAGAGGTTAGATAAACATCTACTTATGTTAGATGATATCAGATAAAGTAAAAATGTTAATTATAATAGTAATAAAAATAACTTTTTAAGATAAAAATGTAGATTCATATTTTACAGATGCTGGTTTCTGAGATTGAAATGAAACAGAGCAAAATAGATGAATGCCAGAAGTATTCAGAGCAATACTCAGCTGCTGTGAAGGTAACAAATAACATTACACTTGTAATCCTATTGTTTTAGTGTCAGTATCATGTAGGATGCCAATCATTTATTGTATTTTCTCTTTTACAGGACTATGAGTTACAGACCATGACCTACAGAGCTATGGTTGACTCCCAACAAAAATCTCCAGTGAAGCGCCGAAGAATGCAAAGCTCATCAGACTTCATTATTCAAGAGGTAAATGGATTTCTTGTGACTGGAAAATGCTTTGCTTAAAACAGCATAAACACAAGAATAGGTTTTTGGATTTATTAATGATTAAAGAGGATAACTCAGGCAAGATTATTTTTTTTCTCTGTAGATACATGATATGATAAATATTCTCTTGGTCATTATGCTGTATTTAGGCAACAAGACTGTATATTGTAGTTGATGAACAAAAGTCATCCAAATAATAAAAAGCTGTATGAGAATTTAATCTCAGTAAAACTATTTATTACTACCTCTGGGCTGGACCTTGATCACAGTAAACAGGGTCAGCTTTCATTGTAACTAAGGTAAAACTTACCAGATCTGGATCTTTTGACAGATTCCAAGGCAAATCAGCCTCATTTGGGTGGGAAAGATAAATCTGTCTCCCTGATAACTGTAAGAGAGAGGAATAGTGACCAGCACTGCTTGCCCCTCTTACAACCTGTTATTAGAGGGGAAAGAATGAAGTCAAAATATTGTCTTCTGTTTCTTCTCCTTAGGGATCTCCTCATAGATCCTTAGGATTTATCTGTGCAAGTAGACCCTGTTGATGGCATTAAACTTTGGAATCAGAGTTAGGACTTCAGATTCCACCATCAGAATTTTGAAATGACAATTGGGATAGGTTCTAGATTAGTGTTTATCACTTCTTTTGAGGTTAATTGGAGTGTTTTCCTTTGTCACACCTTTCTCCCTTCCCTGTTTTTCTACAGTTCATGGATTTACGGACTCGTTACACTGCCTTAGTGACCTTGATGACCCAATACATTAAGTTTGCAGGGGATTCTTTGAAAAGACTGGAAGAGGAAGAGGTAGGTCCTTCCTTGTCAGTCAGCCAAAGAAAAAAAACATCTAGGCAAACAAACAGCAATATACCTATTGGAATTATTCACAAAACTAAAATTTGTTATGTAGTGCACATTGTACAGGAATGTAGCACCAAACCATCCATACACATTGCCAGTTCCTCCACCTAAAAGAAGCATATGATTCACTATATTCTGGTGGAGATGCAATTACATACATTCAATTTTAATACTTTAATGTATTAGGGCTTGATCTTCTGGATAAATGCAGACATTAAGGTGAGGGCAGACTTACTGTGCAGGCACCGTTGATATCCTGTGTAGGCCTCTTAATATTCCATAGTATGCATTCTGGTCCACTTAACAACATGTAAGGAAGTTCTTTTAGCAGGGAGGTATGATGACCTCTTAATTTCAGAAATTTCTTTGACATTTTCAGATTTTTTTTCCTTTTGTCCTTCTTGCCACATTGTTTCCTGGGAGTCAAATAGCATTTTATTTATGCTTGGTGTTGAATTGTATTAACAAGAGTAGATTATTAGACTGACAAAGTACTCAAAATACATGTTTCCTGGAGAGACAACCTTCCAAATAATTGAGAAAAAATACTTCTAAATTCTTCACTTTCTTTTGAAATATTTTTTTCTGAAAGAGATTATATACAGCCATTCTTTAAGGACTACATTATTTTAGTATAAACTTTATAAATTGGATTAAATTGAAGAACACTATTGTATGGGTGTAAATTTTAATGTTATTGTTACAGAAAAACCCAGAGTTCTATAATTCTGGCACTGGCTTTGTCTTTATTGGCTTTTCTTGCTATTAAATTACCTCTGAATCAACTGTAACACTAACAGCATTACATCTTTGTGCATCATCAAGTGGTGGAGTAAACTGATGGAAATATATAATATTTGTTGATAAGTAGTCATCATAACTGAAGATTTAGTATGACTTATAATCCTAATGTCATCAAAGATAAAAAGTCAAACAAAGAACAAGGATCAGGAAACCTGTGAATGTCAATAGGCTTCACGTTCTTCAAGAACAAATGGAATCTCTCAAAATGTTTTGAATTTCAGTCTGCTCTGAGTCTCCAGGACTGCTTTTTTGGAAATCCAATACCCCCCATCTTCCCTTCTCATCCACTCCCTGGCAGCCTTCTAAATCTTTGGTAGCTTCTTTGAAGATTACTTAAGTAGGTTTTCAGTCTCAAAATAATATGAGGGTTTTTTTTCTTTGCAATCAGGGTAGCAAATCAGAAAAATAATAATCCTTTTCAAAGGAGGAATGATTTTTTTTTCTTTTGGGATCAGACTTCTGAAGTCTATGATTGTTCCAAGATTTTCTTTCATGCCAGTCTTTTTTCTTAACTCTCAGTATTGGCATTAAGAATGCATAGAATAAGGAAAAAATAAGATGCTTTCCATAATATCTCAATTTAATCCATATGCTGTCATGCTCAGAGTTTACCAGAAGAGAGTGAACTCCAGCAACCTGTGAAGTCAGCTGAAGTCTTTCAACGTTTGAATTGCAATGAAGCTGTTGAATTGAGAGAGGAAAATAAACCTAATGAAAGCATGATGGATGTGGAATATTTGCAAAAAGATAACTCTTCCAGTAAACCTGAACACACAGAAAATAAATTGGAAATTGACAGCAGAAAATTAAATGTAGACAGATATGATAAAATCAAAACTGATAGAACATCAGAGCAACTTTTCAATTTCAGTGGTCAAGAAAGTAGCATTAGTGGCAACAGAGACAATAAGCTACATAGAGAGCAAGAGAGTTTAATGGGTTTTGGTAATCAAAGTAAAGAAGAAAAAAATGGCAGAAAAGATTTTTTTGTTTCAGCTGAGATCTATATGAGTGTGAGTAATGATCCTGGTGAAATGTTAAATGAGAAAATTGTAAAAGGAGAGAGACGGAAAACAGAGGGAATATCAAAGAAGTTGCCTGAAGTGGAAATAATACACAAAACCGTAAGAAAAAAGAATTCAAGGAAGGCAGGGAGTGATGTTTCAACAGAGGAAGAATGTGAGGTGCGCTCAGAAACTAATTTTGAGCTAACATTGAAGAAATCTGAAGTCACTCCAAAAGCTGGAAAGCATGCCCTGGGTATCAGCCCTCACAAACAGCAACATTTTTCACCTCTTTTTGAATGTCAGCATAAAGAACATTGCTTTACAGAAAGCAATAGCCACAATACTTTAAACTCTGAAGACAGAGAGTTTCAAGTGTGTTATGAAAAAGGTGATTCTCTTTTAGGTGCGAGGGATGCAACATCTTTAGATAAAGTTGCATCCTCTTTCAGGGAGCTGGCAGTGCACAGTGGAAGTGAAAAAACAAATTTGCAATCTATGAGCAATCCAGATGTTTATTGTAATGTTGAGACAGATACTGTCAAAACGAAGAGAGAATCTCTGGATAAAAGTTACTTCCTGGCAGAAAACGAAATCCTAGAAAAATCAAATTTAAATTCAGATGAAGCCAAGAGTATAATGCAAGAAATTTCAGCTGCTTCTTCAGGAAATATTTCAGGGAATCACTATGCAGAAAAAGTCTCTGAATCTTATCCATTAGATTTTGAAGTGTCACTAGTGCAGAACGATCAAAGTTTAGGTACAGAATTGTTAGGAAATGCTGGTGATTTAAATGCAGATTTTAGCCTCTCAGAAATTATTTCTGGGGAAGAGGATTATTTTCCATTGTCAGAACATGGATTAACAAAAAAGCTTTTGAGTCAAAATGAGAAATTAAGTGTGAAGAAAATATCAGAGGGCAACATATATGGTTTGGGCAACATAAATATGAGTGGGAAGAAGCAGAATGGTGAAGACAGGTTAGAGCAGGGTCAGAATTGTAAAGACTTGTTGCTAGTTGCAGAAATGGTCAGTAGAGATGAAGGTCATAGCACAAATGTACCCAGAAAAAACACTAAACTCCAGAAGACATTCTGGGAAAAATTAGGGGAAAAAACCTCATTTGAAAAAAAAGAAAAGCAAAAAAAGAGAGACAAAGATAATGAAGAGAAAAGAAGCACAACTATTACTGAGGTACCAGAGTTTTTATGGAATGCAAATGAAACAGTTAATCTAATAATGATTCTAAATCAATCCAAATCAACATTTGAATCTCAAAATATGTCAAGTGATTTAAGGCTGATTGAACATAATTTAAACAATGAAATGCTAATTATGTATCAATTACTGTGTATTTTGAGATGCTTAATTTTTAAAAATTCTTAGACATTTATTTTGATATTTATTTTGTGTTACTATTTGCCATCCTTTTCTCCACCCAGCTGATGCTCAGCCATGTTGCTTAGCAAAAATGAAATCTAAGAAGATATAGTTTATGACTGTATCTGTATTTTTAGTTCTTTTTCAAGCATAATACATTTGTGTCTATGGGAGCATAAGAGATCTGATAACAAATCAATTTAAACATTTTGTTTCCATTGGAGGCTGTTCAAAATTTTAATACAGAGAAATATAGAGAGGAACTGAGGAAGCTGCCTTTGCATTAGCCTTTTAGGAAATGTTTCATATATCATGTGAAAAATCAAGTAAATCTGGTAAATTTTAACTAACCCAGCATTTTGTTTATTTGAAAATGTTGCTATAATTACTCTTCGTACCTTGTTTGTATGATCATAGGAATATAGGTCTGTTCTTACTTGATGTTAGCTCACATTTGGTACCTTAACATCATAACAGTGCTAATGAAGACAAGGTATGTATAGCTTAAGCCATATAATTACCAATGATTGCACATGTTGCTTGTAAGACTTGCCCTGGATCTGCCAATATATGGAGACTACTAGCCAACTAGTTTTCACTAGGATTTTCCTAATTGTCATGTTTATATTTCTGTGCCTGTGCTGCAGAACAGCTGTGCTCTTACCAGTCCCCCGGCAGCACCAGTGGAGGCACTGGGACTGTGGAGCACACTACGGATCAGAGATGTGCTGGGGTTTAGATACTTCTCTTTCCAGAGCTGTTGCATTGTTTCTGTTCTTGGGGGGAAGTTCAGAACCTGTGTTATTTTTGCTTGCAAGCTTAAATCCTTCTTCCAGTTCCTGCTCAACTGATCCAGAAATGGTAGACCACTTTTCTTCTTGGGGATTCTTGCACACTGTGTTTGGCTTACTGTTTGCTCTGCCTATTTGTTTGGTGAGCAGTTTGGCATTGCTTACTGCTAGGAGGCACCTGACTGAAATGAGAGCCTTCAGGACCTCTTTGCTTTGTGGATGTCTTTGTCAAGGGTTTCATATTTGGCTAATGGTAACTTCCTGAAGCCTTCAAGAGAAGGTGATGGTGGTGGGAACTGCTCGTCCTACTTTCTGGACATACCTTATAGATGAGTAAGTATTTTCCCTTCTGCTTTTCTAAGAGCCTAATATGTTTTCTATGTTGTATTACAAAAAGTACATTCCAACTTGTCTTACTTTTACAGATTTTAAAGAACAAGGAAGCGTCAACACGTCAGGCATATTCAGATCTAATGGCACAGCAAAGTAACACAGTTGATGAGAATAAAAAACTCATAGGAAAGGTAAAAGCACTTGAGGAGATGTTGGAGAACGTGAAGAAGCAGAAAATCCAAGTGGAACAGGAGCTCCCTAAAGTGAGGGAAGCTGCAGAAAAAGAGCGTAAGAAACAGCAAAAGGACATGGAAGAAATCCGTCTTCAGAAGACCAAGGCTGAGCAAGAGGCAAAGCAGTGTCGTATAGATCTAGAGTGCATGGAGAAAGAGAAAGCAGATGCAGAGCAGGAACTGGAGTGTGTAAGGCAGTTCATTTTTCAGGCAGAGACTCAAAGAAGTATACTGGAGGAAAACCTCCGTGCTTTTCGAAATCAAATAGAAGAAAGTGCCTTTACCAGAAGAAACTTGGAAGAGCTTCTAAGAAGAAAAGATACTAATCTTCATGATTTAGAAAAACAAAAAAAAACCTTAATGCAAGAGCTGAAGAAAAAAACAGACAGAGAGGAGAAACTTATGAAGCTTATCAAGCAAATGGAACAAGATCTTGAATTTCAAGGGAACCTATCAGAAATAAAGCTGCAAGAAAGAGAGAAAACTGAAGCTAGAAGGAAAGTTGTTGAAGGAAGATACTCTGTAACTAGAGAAACTTCCCTGACAACTTTCACTGCTGGGCAAGGCAGCCAGTGTAGGACTGACTCTGAAATTACAAGTTTCCAGAAGAAATTAGAAGCCAAAAAAGTAGAAGAACTTAAGCAGAAGATAAATGACTTAACCCTTGCTAACAAAAAAGCTGATAAAACTATTAAAGACCTGAAATATGAACTGAATGAAATTGAACTTCAAAAATCATCAACAGAAGAAAAGTCTCGTTTATTAAAAGAAAAACTAGATAAAGTCAATAATGAACTTAAATGCCTAAAAATTAAGTTGGAGGAAAAAGACCAAGTAGAGCAAGGATATTTGCAGCAGTTGAAAGAACTGGACAGGCAGCTACAGAGAGCCACAAGTAAAGCTGAAGAAGTGATGCAAGAAGCTATGGATCTTAAGAAAATTAAGATGAACTATCAGGAGGAGCTGAAATCTGTTCAGCAAGAAAAGACAAAGCTAAAAAGAGAAGTAGAGGAGTTAACCAGATCACAGACAAAAACTGAAATCACTATCAAACATTTAAATTCACAGATCAGTTCTCTTCAAAAAGAGAAACTGGCAGCTGAACATAGAACACAGTCATGCAAAGGAGAAGCAGATAATCTTCAAGACCAATATAAGAAAATTAAAGAACAGTTGCTTCAAAAAACAAAAGAAGAGAAAGAAAACCAGCTGGAAATTCAGATGCTGAAGAATGAATTAGCCAAAAGCAATCAGGTGTCAGAAACATTGAAACGACAGATAGAGGACCTTAATAAATGGAATACTGATACAAAACTACAGATGAAGCAAATTCTATCTGAATCAGAGAAGATGGCTTTGGAAAAACAAAATATTCAGAGGAAAAATGAGGCATTAAAAACCCTAGCAGATGGTTTCAAAGAACAATTGCACACAACAAATGAACAATTGCACAAGCAAACAATAATTGAGCAAGAATATATTTGTAAAATCAAAGGCCTAGAAGTTGACCTAGCAAAAACAAAAGACCTAGCGAGGGAATATAAACAAAACTGTGATAAACAAAGTGCTTCCACCCTCACCATTAACCAGGAGGTTAAAAATTTAAATGCTCAAATGAATGCTCTAACCATGGAAAAGAGAGTGAGTGAGCAGAAGATCCAGCTACAACAAACTCATATACAAGACCTAAGTAGCAAATTAAAAAAATTGCAGGATGAGCTCCATCAGAAGACTCTGGATGAACAGATGGCACGCAAGAAGATGATTCTGTTTCAGGAAGAATCCATTAAGTTTAAACACTCTGCAGAGGAATTTAGGAAAAAAGTTGAAAAATTACTAGAATCTCATAGCATCACAGAAAAGGACATTTCTGGCATAAAACTAGAATGTGTTGCTCTTCAGCAAGAAAAGCATATGGCTGAGGAAAACATCATGTTGTACAAGAGGCAAATGGAAGATCTACAAGAAAGGCTTAAAAAATGTCATGAACAGCTGCAGCAAGGGAAGCAAACTGAAATGGACTATCACCAGAAATGCAGGAAACTTGAGGAAGAATTGGAAGTGCAGAAGCGCATGGTTGAGACCTTGAAACAGAAAATGGATCTGCAGGTCAGGGAGAGTGAACACAGGTTTGTTTTGTTACAGAATGAAGTTCAGCAAAGTAATAAGCTCCAAGATTCTGGATTTAAATGGAGCTGTGAGAGAAGAGGGAATGATTTCAATTACCTGAGTGATGCCACAGCTAAAGAATTTGAACAGCTTCCTCCACGTACAAAACCAAGCTCACCTTTGTTAAGGCAGAAACAGGAGAGATCAGGTTTTAAATCTGATCAAATAGAAGAAAATACATTGTATGTGAGTGCTGATGATACAACACCAAGAGAGGTGCAGTTCCAGATGTCAACCATAAACCAGTCATTAGAAGATTCAAGCTCACAGTCTTTTACAGAGTTTGTTTCACAAATGAGTACACAGTTCCAGATAACTTTTGATAAAGCAAGCCAAATCTCTGGAACCTCTGAAAAGGACACATTGAGAAACAGGAACCTACACAGTTCCAGACAAACTATTAGACATGGAGAAGATGCAAAACATGAATTAGGAGTGGTAAAACTGCATCCCTTGGAGGTACACACTACGTTTTGTGAGGGTTTACCTTCCTAGTCTGCTTTTTACTAGTCTGTTTGTTTGTTTTTAGTTATACTTTATCACCTCTCTCTAATGTTTCTCTATCTTGGTGAAGGGAACCCCTTCATTCTTATGCAACATAAAAAGCTTTTCATTAGACCTCAGTACCAGGTTCTTTAATATCTTAGAAACATTATTTTAAAAGTTTGTGTTGGAAACAGAATTTCACATACACTGTTGTATCATTATTGGTCAAAATAAGCTTTGATTAACAGTAGTAGGTTCACATAGTAGAAAGAACAGTTATTGATGCTTAATCTAGTCATATTCGTGTTATTGAATAAATATTTGAAATGGCAAATGCACTTCAAAACTCTCTCTAATGCTAGTAGCAGTTCTCCTTTCTGACTCGCATTCAAGTTCTCCCTTTAATTTCTCTGGTGGTGGATTTAGGAGTGAATTACGTACAGAATGGTCTGCAGTTGTATTTCTCACTGTGTCAAAAAATTCCTATTTACAGATAGTGAAGAACAAGCACTATGACATGCATGTTGAAGTCACAACATTAAACCAAGAAAATGACAAGACGTTTGGTAATGAAGAAAGAATGTTTGAGGGATACAAAACATCTGAAGGGTTTAGGAAAGAAGACATTGCAAAGATGAGCTCTTTCGTAGGGGAAGAGATTTTGAGAACTGTTGATGATGCTACTCGGCAGGAATATTTTACAGAGGAGTATGATGCTATTAAATTTGAAGGTCTCCGACACGACGTAACTGCCAGACAGTTGATTGAAGTTAAACTTTTAGACAGGCTCTCAGCTGAGCAGCTCATTTCAGGGCAGAAAACTACTGATGAGATTCAGAAAACTCTTGAAAAATTTTTAACGAAACCTACAGCTATAGCTGGGCTGTACCTTGAATCCAGCAAAGAGATACTCTCTTTTGCTTTAGCAGCAAAGAGAAGAATCATAGGAAAAGCACTGGCATTAGCATTTTTAGAGGCCCAAGCAGCTACTGGTTTCATCATTGATCCCACAACAGGTCAGAAGTTCTCTGTTGATGATTCGGTTGCTAGAGGGCTTGCAGACAGTGAATTCAAGAGTAGACTGCTTGAGGCAGAGAAAGCTGTTTTGGGCTATTGCTGTTCTGGGAAAGTGCTCTCTGTGTTTCAGGCTGTGGAAGCTCGACTTTTAGAGAGGCAAAAAGGCAAAAATATCCTTGAGGCTCAAATTGCATGTGGGGGGGTAATTGATCCTGTAAGAAGTGTTCGTGTACCTCCAGAAACTGCCGTGCATCTTGGCTTGCTTAATAACACAATTTTAAAATTTTTGCATGAACCTTCTAGTAATGCAAAATGTTTTTACAATCCAAATAACAGGAAAGCTATGTACTACTGTGATTTGCTGAAAATGTGTTTGTTCAGTGTAAGCAGTAAATGCTTTCTGCTTCCAGCTGGTGAAAGGAAAATAAGCAGCCCATCATCAGAGAGGAGTCATAAAACTTCTGTAGTAGATGTTGACACAGGAGCTGAAATGACATCATACGAGGCTTATAAAAAGAAATGTATTGATAAAGCTACATATCTCGAGCTTTCAAAACAAGAATTTGATTGGAAGGAGTCTACATGTTTTGACTCTGATGGGAATTCTTTCCTTTTGCTTACAGATCTTAAAACTGGTGTACAGTTTAATATTGAGGAGACCCTAAATCAAGGTAGAATTGACAGAGCATCAGTTGATAAGTATAAGGAGGGCTTAATCACAGTTAATGAGTTTGGTGATATTCTAGTTAGCAGTTCACAGCCAAATAAAGATTTAAACAGTCCAATTGCAGGGTTCTGGCTTTCTGAAACCAACGAAAGAATTCCAGTCTTGAAAGCCTCACGTAAAAATTTGGTAGACAGAGTTACTGCCCTCCGATGTCTTGAAGCTCAGGTTAGTACAGGAGGTATAATTGATCCATTTACTGGGAAAAAGTACAGTGTTTCTGAAGCTTTGCAAAGAGAGTTAATTGATGATGGTTGTGCCAAGCAAATCCAGCAATGTGAGCTGATCTTTACTGGGATCATTCATCCTGTAAGGAACACTGTTATGTCAGCTGTTGAAGCTGTGCATTTAAATGCCATAGACAAAGAAATGGGCATGCGCTGCCTGGAGTATCAGTACTTGACTGGTGGCTTGATAGATCCAAAGTCTCATTCCAGATTAACAATGGAAGATGCAATTAAGAGTGGTATTATTGATGCTGTCACAGCTACAAAGATAAAGGGTGAAAAATCACATGCTAAAGTTTTGACATGCCCCAAAACTAAGAAGAAGATAACCTACAAAGAAGCTTTAGAGAGAGCTGTTTTTGATTGCCACACTGGACTGCGGTTGTTAGAAGCAACTCAGCCCATAAAAACAGGAATTTCCAGTCTTTACTATAATTCATAGTGGACAAAAGGTATTACTACTCATTTTCGGCCCTGCTGAAAAACCCATTCAGGTTAAGGAAATGATCTGTGGTGGCCAGATTGCCCTTTGTGGACAATCATAAATGTTTTCTAGCATAATAATGAATTGCTGTAAAACTAATTGTTACAGACCACTTATTAGTGTAAACCACTGCAACCGGACTTAGATATTACTTATAGCAAAATTAAAATTTATAGACAGGCAGATTCATAGTTTCAAAATGATGTGTTCAGTCTTTCCCTGAAGGCCTTCTCTGACATTACCTACATACAGGTAGTGTAAATGAGAAATTATACTCAAGTTGGTGAAGTTAACATTAGTGCAAGGAGGGTAGATTTAGGTGAGACAAGGATCATGTCCTTACATTAAAGACTGAAAGGCGTTGCCCATTTTGTGATTGAACACGGTGCAGTATTTCATGTGACCTGTTACTTAATTTAATATTACAAATCAGTTTGTAGATATCATTTATTTTATGAAAGTGGCAATAAAATATACAAGGGTTAAATCTGCAGTGTGGTAAACACACATGCAAAGGTACTTTTTCTCACACTGGTATTTAATTAATTTCAGTGGGCTACTTACACAATAAAGTTGTAAGCTTTTTTCTCACTCCAGGTAACTTTTCTCTTTAGAAACGTTTTCACGCTCTAATAGGTAAATTATATACAATTGCATATCAAATAAAAAAAATCCATTGAAATAAAACGTCTTTATTTTTACATGTGATACATGGAAGAGCTTAAGCATGTTTTCTCAGTACTGATAAATGTCCACCTACTAACAGGTTGTACTTATATGAAAAGAAATGTGTTCTTCTATGCAGAAAAAGATTAAATGTCTCAGTATTTTACTGTTACTGTTCTTTTTTCTGTAGACATAAAAGCAGTGTATTATCCCAACTGTAATTTAGTAATCCATGTACATAGATTGCAAAATACTGTTATCCTATGCTGGCTGTACATATCCACACCTAAAGGTAATGCAAAGGCAGCAATTCAAAGATACTTTATATGCAAATTTTTTTAGATTTTTATCTGCTGAGTAATGGCTGGATAGCGATGCTTTTTCCTTGTATCAATAATTTTATAATGATTGTATGTGTGTATGAATAAGCACCTTTATCATAATTACAAATCATTTGAGGTATTATTTTGTTAATATCTATGTGGTATTTTTGTTCCTACATCGAAGTGTCATAGTAATGCATGTGGTGATAAATAAAAAGAAATCATTTTACGTTTATGTGATAATGTCATTGTGGTAGAGTTGTTTTGTATGAACATTAATGTTACATATTTCAACAATTTACTTTTACATTTTCTTACAATTCGTGGCGCTCCTCAGAAATCAATGGAAGAGGAAAAGAAGGAACATGTTGAGAAAGCTGGGGATTTACTAAAATGGGTGTCAAACCTCAGCAAGACACTCAGCAAAGAAGAAGGAGAAAAGGCTGAAAAGACAGACTTGCCTAAGCAGCAGGTACACAAATGTCTTTAGGTTTTTGCCAAAATGTTCCATAAATACTTCTTTTCCTGCAAATCTCCATCCTCATTTTCCTCAAGGTGGAATTTCACATTTGATTGTGAGTAGAGGGCTGGGTACATGAATATCAATGTTTAGGGACACAAGCATGTTTCTCAGGAAGAAGTTCACACTGCTTTTTATAAATCTAGTGTGTGACATATTCTAACACTTTAGAATATCAGTTTAGAGAAACAGGACACTGCACACCATAACTCAGCCTTTGTAGAGTGTCAGTGCATTTTAGCAGATTGGCACTTTGGGCACCAGGAAGGAGGAAGTTGGTAGGAGGATCCTGAGAGGGAATTTTTTATTTATTTGCTGTTGAAAAGATTACGCGGATGGGTCTTCTTAAGGGAAAGTAAAAACTGCTGTCCTAGGAAGTACAGCAGCTGTTGGCTGAGGCTTTAATTATCACTCTAGTCCACAGGCTGGAGTGGCCCATCTCGACACCTTTGTATTCAACAAGTACATTGTCACTGTGTACAGTTGTAACTCTGACCATAAATTTCTATCTGCAAAGTTTCCTATAATTTCTAGGACCTCCCCTTGTAGCCGTGTCTCATGAAATAGCTTAGTGACACCTAAAAGATTTCAGTAGGTGAAGGTCTGCCTGCCCAGTGAGCAGCACAGGCACAGAGTGGTGTCTTGTCCACATACCTCAGTACAGGGCCTGATGTGTGGTCCTGCAAACATGATTTTGGCTGTCTTGGCAGCCTGTTCCTGTGGTTTTATTTTGGTTAGACCCACTGGAGCAGTGTGTGTGTAAATCAAGCTTGCTGTTGGGCAGGTCAGCAGACCTGCAGTCTTGATGACCACCAGACCCAGCAGACTGCTTGGTCATAGAGAAGCAGTGCTAGCTCTGAGTTTGTGCCTATATATATATATAGGAGGAGGTAAGCTTGTATTGATTTGAGCATACTGATTGTTAACTTGCTAGTAGTTAGATCAGGATTTGCAAAAAACATTCAGTGCTGGTCCTTTTCTGCCCTTGTTAATGACAACACTGCAAACCTTTGTCAGTGTTGAGCCAGTGCTCAATCCTTAGGGCATCTCAGCTTACCACGGCAACTGTGGGTGTCATTTATCCTGTCCAGCCTGAGCCCTCAGTGGGTAACCTGTGAGTTAGTTGCCTTGGCTTTCTTCACAACATAGTCCCTTGCTGTGGAAGATGGATGTGTGCTGAGGGTGTTTCCTTCTCTTGTGAAACAGCCTGGTGAGGTAGCAGCACCGAAAGTGGTGATTTGATAGTTGAAATACATTAGGGGGTGTAGCCATGTTCTGGGAGGAGAAGCTGGTACCAGTGGTGACAGGGTGCACACAGCAGTGCAGCAACACTGGTTTCCGAGTAAAGTGGAGCTCATGACCCCACCAGCTACCTCAGCCTGCTCACATCACGTTCTTGAGTAGAGCATACAGTGCTGCTCTTGGTTCCTGTACAAGCAGCACAAGTGGTGGTGACTGCAAAGCAAAACTGTTCAGGCCCTTTGACACAATGCAGTCAAGGACAGAATTGGTTCAGTCCAGGCCAAGGTGAATGCAGGGTCCAGGCACCTTGCTCAAGTCCTCTTAGCACCTACGCTGAACATATCTTCAGCTTGCAGACTCCCCTTTGATAATTTGCCTTTATTTATCCAAAATGAGTGCTTTTCTTTGAGGACACTGCAGGAAGTTTCTCAGAAAAATTAATGATTAAATTCCCGCAAGTTCCCCTGCCACAATGAGTGCTTTAGTGGGGATGACAGAACTGATAGTGGGGAGAATATTAATAAATAATTCAGTTTTTCAGGCATCTGATATTGCATTTGTCTCTGATGTTGTATTTCATGAAGGCTTGTGGTCTTAGGATACATTTTTTTTTTTTAAATTTGTTATCCTTCATTTTGGTGAGCAACTTCTTGAACATGACCATTGTACTCATACTTTTATAAAGCTGTTGTAAACTGTGCCAACTATAAGTGATTTTAAATGATTGGGTAATTTTCATACAAATAACACTTTAAAATAAATTCTATTTGTTTTGCTCGATAGTCTTCTAATACAAACAGCTTACTTAACAAAAAGGCATAGCACAATTACTTATCCATATGTAAATTATATAATTACATAATAAATAATATTGCTCTAAGGATAGGCAGTATTTAAAAAAATCTAACTCTTACATTATTGAGATTAGTTCCAGATAGATTGATGTTTGTTTTATTTATGTACATAGTTAAGTCTTGAACACAGTTTGCTTCTTTTTCAGATTTCCCTGCATGAAATGTCAACCAAAAAAGAACAAATAGCTGAAGCTCTGCAGACTACTCAGTCATTTTTAGCTAAGCACAGTGATAAGTATGCCATTTTTTATTTTTCAAATAATACAAATTAATTGAATCAATACATACTGTTTGCTTAAAAATAAGTCCTATCCTCATTTTACAGTTCCAGTTGTATTTCATGTACAGATGATATGCCAGTTTGGATGATTTTTACCATCCTATTTGGTGAAACTTGGTGCAGTTTTGTTTATTTCAAGAACTTGGCTTGGTTTATATACCTCTGGTCAGCTTAAAAATATTAGATATTTAAATTTTCATTTGGAGTCAAAATAATTAACAGATTTGTAGCAAATTAGTACTTGAACTATATGTCACAAGTTTGTTTCATCTGTGTCTGAAAAAAGACTATCTAAGATACTAAATTGCTGAAATATCTCATGCTTGCTAGTTTTGTTGCCTCTCTTGACTGAAAATCACTAGACAAAGGCAAATGCAAAGGTGAAATGCTTTTTTTTCTGAATAACTACAAGCAGATTGTAGCTTTCTTGACCATCTTTGTAATTAGTCTGTATTTTTTCTAGATTACTTGTACCAATTTCTGCCCCACTTTTTTAGGTAAAGGTAGGCCGATCACTCCCAATAGGTTATGAATTACCCAAAGAGATCTCTTTCTTCCTTTTTTTTTTCCTAATAGAATGACAGATGAAGAGCGACATGAAATGGAAAAGCAAGTCAGATCTCTCCAGGAGAGCTACAGCTTGTTATCCAATGAAGCTTTTAAGCAGCTGCAGGAAGCGCAGTATCTGGGTGATGAAAAGATGGAAGAAAAGGTAACAAGATAGAAACTTAGATTTCAGTCTCTCTTGAGATTTACTGCATGGTTTTTGAACCCCACATGATCAGCAAAAGAAAAACTGCAATTAACAGTGTGTAGAAGGAATTTGAGATTTAATTGACTGAAAGTGTTATGTATTTTCTGTAAAATACTGTGTGTGACCTTACCTGTGCATATGAACATTCTACTCATCAGACTTCTTTTGCGAAGAGTCTTAATAATGTGTGCCTTGCATGAAGAAAGATAAACAAATCATTCATCTCTTAACTCTTCTCTTAAAAGCCATTCTTTGACTGCTAGATAAACTTGTGTTTCTGCTGCAAAAATGACACCATAACATGATAATCTCTCCCATATATCACTCAGAAATGTCCTAGAAGAGATCTACTTTCAGTTTTTCTTAAAATTTTTCTGCATCTGAAAATGGGAACACACAACATGATTAGGTCTGAGGCACTACAAATACATTTGTTAATGGATATAAGCCTTAAATATGGAGTTCTCAAAAATTATGCTGCAAATGAGTGTTCTCATATACATATAGAGGCAGTGTCTGTGTAATGAGTTCAAATAATGTTGCCAGACTGACTTCATGCTTTTCATGCAAACTAAATGCAATATTTGGTGCTAGAGTATCTGATTCCATATTGTTGAGTTTATTATGCAGAAGTGCTGTATGCTGTAAACATGAATAGCATGGTTGTGTTGAATCACATACTGTTTCCAAATATTCTAACCTTTCACAGACATTTATAGCATGAAAATTTGCCTTTCAGGTATATGTTCTATTTGCTCACTCTGCAGTCATTTCTTCTATTATCTTTCACTAACCCTGTTTATGTATGCAAAGCATAGGTTTTCAATTCACAGATGCATGTTGATTTTAAATCTTTTATCACATCGTGTGCTCTTGAGTGACTGACATAGATCACTTGCGCATTTGAGCTGCTAACATTCACAGCATTCCTCCAAGCCTGGTAAGTACGTGTTTTTCTGCTTATCATGCATTCAAAATCAAAAAATTTAAAATATATAGTCCAAAAATATTGATATCTTCTCTTTTATATTCCTTTCCAGGTGAATAAAGTCATTGCTGGTGTCATTGATCAAACTACTGGAGAAGTCTTTTCAGTCTTTCAGTCTATTTTAAAAGGTTTTCTTGACTATGACACCGGAATTAGATTGCTCGAGAATCAGCTGATTCTTTCTGGAATAATTTCTCCAGAATTAGGAGTGTGTTATGATTTGGAAGAAGCTAAAGCTCATGCCTTAATTGATGAGCAGATTCTGTTGCAGTTGGAGGAATTAAGTGATGCAAAAAAGCTTATTTCAGAATCATCATTATCAAATATTCCGGTTGTTTCAGTTTTAGAACAAGGTCTAATTTCAGAACCTTTGGCTATTAAAATTCTTGAGAATCAGCTTTCAAGTGGGTATTTGATTTTGCCATCTACTGGAGACAAACTGACTTTGCAGAGTGCTTTCCAGAGAAACCTCATGTCTCCAACATTATATGCAAAACTCCTGGAAAGACAAGACACATGTAAAGATCTCATAGACCCCAACTGTGCTGAGAAAATTTCCCTTGAGCAGATGATTCAAAGAAGCATAATACATAAAAGAACAGGGTTAAGACTCCTACCTGTGAAACCACAAGAGAAAGGGAGAATTGTGTTGAAATGTGGAAGGAGGATAACTATTCTGAGGGCAGCCCATGAAGGTCTCATTGATCGGGAAACAATGTTCAGGCTGCTGGGTGCTCAGTTAATGTCTGGAGGTCTCATTGACCCTGACTCAGGGAAACGAATGACTGTGGAAGAGGCCGTGAGACAAGGGGTGATAGATCAGGATACTGCTTGCGGGATCCTCACACATCAGGTTCAGACTGGGGGAATCCTTTGTCAAAATTCAGGACAACGGTTGACTGTTGATGAAGCTGTGCAATGTAACTTAATATCATCTACCAGTGCCCTGCTGGTATTGGAAGCACAGAGGGGCTTTGTGGGACTAATTTGGCCTCACACTGGTGAAATATTCCCTGTATCAACTTCTTTGCACCAAGATATGATAACAAATGAGCTGGCGTTCAAAATACTGAATGATAGAAAGAAAATAGCTGCACTTTACATTCCAGAAACTTGTGAAATAATCAGTCTTGACAAGGCTGCAGAATCAGGGATCATAGATAGCAATACTGTATCTGTTTTGACCAACGTGACTTTGCCAGATAAAATGCCCAATGTAGAAGAATTGAAGTTCCCTTGTAAAAATGCTGCAAAATGGTTATCATCATATGAATTTCTGCCATCTGTAGTTCATGACCGAGAGGAAGAACATGAAGATTGTAGCACAGAAGACCCTGTATGTCATAATTTAGATCAAGCTAAGAAACTATTCATATCTTACCTGATGGTAAATAGTTATATGGATGCAAACACTGGAAGAAGACTTCTGTTATATGATGGACAACTGCAAGAGGTCATCAATAATCTGCTGGAAGGTGGTGGTGCTGCATACAATGCTGGTGTGTCAGAAATGGAGTTTAGTAACAAATATGTAAGCTCGAAAGGAATTAACCTAAAGTCAGCAGATAGTGTTCAGGGTGACCTTTCGGGTGTTGAGAATGCTTCTAAAAGCAGTAAATTAAATCAGTTTGATGATTTGGGAAATAATGTATCTTCACAAGAAGATCTTCATGAGTGTGGACCAGATATTTGCAATGCTGCTGACACCGAGCAATCAGAATATACACAGGAGATGTTGTTAACTCTCCCTGCAGAACCCAGAAATGTAGTAAGTAACACTCAAAATTCCACGAACAGAAATCAACTCAGAGGTTTTTTTGAGGTTTCTGAGTGGACAGAACTGTGTAAGCATAACAATCAGCAGGCAAATTCAGGAAACATTGAGGGATATCTTCCAAATGACTTAAATCCAAGTCCTATTTCAGAAACAGGGAAAGAAGAGATTTATATGGGTGACAGTCTGAGTACTGAAAACAGGAATGATAAAAGCCCACAAAATTTCTTGAATGTGGATGATTTGTCAGATAAAATCTGGAGGGAGCTGGAAAGGTGCACACCATACAGGCCTCACATATTGCAAGCTGACAGTAGCAGAATGTTACTGGATAACAGCAAGAAAGATGATTTTCAGAGAAGTCTTTGTTCATCCATCAGTGCAGACACTGCATATAGACTGCCAGAAGAATTGGTTAGTCAGTGTGGTGACACACTACAGTTCGAAGACAATGAATACAATGAGCAACCTCTACAGGAGTATGCTGATGTACCTAACAGACCATCCCTAGAGGGCTATCCTTATATACATGGAAAGCCGTCATTGGAGGATTGTATTGATTTTCAGAATAAACTGTATCTAGAAGACAGTAGAGACATGCACCATAGCTCTTTGTTGGGTGGTAATACTGTTATACACGATGGACCAGCTATGGGGGACAGTAACAGCACAGCACAAGGGCTGACAACAGAAGAAAGTGATCTTACATTCCACAGATTAGTGCCGTGCTACACTAGCTCTGATTCATCAGTAGATGATAGTGATGGCATTCCACAGCTTGAAAGTGCCTGCTTGCAGCATGAGTGTGGTGAGGAAACCCCTGAAGATGACAGCTCTCAGTTTGATGAGGATGACGATGATGCCTATGAAACACCTCAGACTGATGATGAAGACAGTGATGTCTATAATACTCCTCAAACAGATGATGATGATTCCTCTGACACTTCTCAAGGTGATGAGGGCTTTGATACCTTGAAGATGGGGGATGATGATACACCAGAGCCAGAATTGGCTGGAAGATCAGTTCCATTGGTTTTTCTGGAGGAGAGAGGTGGTCTAACAGCCCTAAGAGAAGAGACCACCTCTTTTCAAGAACTTGGAGCTAATGCTAAAGAGGATGTCCATGTAAATGGGAAAGAGCAACCTGAGAGCATAAATACAGCTGCTGCAAGTACCAAAACCATGGGAAGAATCCCTAAGGAGGAAAGGGAAGGAAAAGGAAGTTTTGGAGAGAAGGAGCAAGAGTTACCAGTTACTGTGAAGAGCGAAGGAAGAAAGGAGGGAGGCATAAGTTCTTTACGGGAGATGTATGAAGCAGATGTACAAGAGAGAAATGAGCAAGTTGAAATGAAAGCAGAAAGTGATTCCTATGAGGATGAATCTGAAGGTACACAGGAGGGGGAAGATTATGAGGAGGATTACGATAGTTATGATGACTCTGACACTGATTCTGACAGTGAAGATGAAATGGATATTTTTTATTCACATCATCAGTGTATAAATAAAGGTGACCAGCTGTTAATTTCCTTAGGAGATGTAGAAAGAAGCAATGAACGTAATCAGAATATTGGTGACTGTTGCTATTCTTTAGGCGACAAGACAGGATATACTTCGCAATTCCAGTCTAACCATGAAAATGGAAATCTGTCTTCAGGAAAATGTGAATCAGTGTCACATATTTCTGAGGAAAGCTATGTTGATCTTTCATGTGCAAGTGAAGACAGACAGCAGGAAACAGAAGATAAATGTGGGACTTGTGTCAAAAGTAAATACATGTCACAAGATACTACTGAGCCTATTCAGTCAGAAAATACCCTTGACACTAAATGGACAGTCTCTACAAGTGAAGGAAATAATGAAACACGGCTTAAGGTTCCAGGTTCTCAGCTTCTCCATAGTACTGTGAAATCTGATGTCAGTGTAACGGCCTACCTGATAACAGAGCAAGCTGCTGATAGTGATGAAAGTACTCGGACAAATTTGCTTCTCTCAGAATGCTTTACTGATAGCATGAATAAAGACAATGCTGCCATGCCAATGTTAGATTCGAATCATGGGCAAAGACAGAAAGAAGCAGTAGTTGCAGAGGAAAAAGTATTAAATGATACGGAAAAACAAAAGGAAAGTTCATCTCAAAAGGACAATAAATTCCCTATAGATATGCCTTCTGTGAGTGATGATAATGATAGCTCCCTTAGGGACCCAGTAGATCCAGTCACCAGTTGGAAGCATGGTCAAATAGGAAGAGGTTTCGAAATTCTTTCAGAAAGTAAAAGTAAAGTAAATATTATAGAGGAATGTGATATCATGGGACTAAGTAAAAGTCCCATTCAGATGGAAAGCCTTGGGGAAATATTTGATGCATCAGTAATTAAAGCTGATAGAGAAACTTCTGCTGCAAGTAAAGAAAAAGTAAATGTTGATCAAGATTTCTTTGACATTCGAGTTGTGAGATCAGATGAATTTAGGAGAGATACTAACATTCCTCCTTCTTTAAAACAATATACAACAGGCATAAAAGAAGGTGGCCATTCAGAACTGGATAAAACTGAATTCTCTTGTTTTGAGGACACAGAAAGAGGGGGAAAGGGTATAGAGATTGAAAAGGATTTTCTGCTAAATACAGAAGAAATGCATTCAAGTGAATTTAATGCTCAGTCTTTTCCTCCAACTGATACAGTGAAACCAAAGGAAATTAGCATAACTAAAGACATAGGGAGAGTTATCTGTCAAAATACAGCCAATGTTCTTAAAGACTCTTCAGAAAACAAAAGCAACAATGACAGTGAAATTTCTCCCATAAAACCAGATGCTTTAGGAAGTATTGAGGATGCCAAAGAATCAGGGAATGGAAGTGAAGTGCTATCTTCTGGGAAACTTACCCACACCACTGATGTTTCTTCTGCAATTCTGAGTAGCATAGGAACTGACTTGAATTATGGTGCCCAGAAAGAATATGAGATGCTGAAAAACAAAAAGAGAGAAAATTTCATGGCCAGTGAGACTTCCTCACTTGGAAATGGTTTAAAAAACCAAATGTCCATGGAGTCACTGCAAAAGGAAATGGGACCCTGCAAAGATTTTCAAGTAAAGGAAGGTATTTCACAATCACCAGAAGTATCTGACACACTAATGGAAGACTTACGGAATATATTGCAAAAAAAATTGAAAATGGGACATGGTTACTGCAAACAGGAAGCTGAACCCCTAAGTTACACTGATACCAAAACTTTAATGCAAAATTTACTTACAATGGTTAGAAGTACCCAGCTGGTGAGTGAAAAGTCTAGTGGATCAAATCTCAAGCAAATAAGCAGTTCTGTTAGAACTGCAGTAATGGATACCATGCCATGTACAGAGCCCAAGGACAGTGATGCTCCTTCATTGCTTTGGCTTGATTGCAGAAGTCCTGATCTTCTTCATGATATTCTGAAGCAGGAATCCTGCAAGCAAAAGATGACTGATGTAGATAAAAGGAGGAATGAAACAGACATGAAAGCTCCTGTTCTCAAGCCAACTATTTCCGAACTTCTGGAGATTTTTCAAATCTCACCTGGAGATGAAAGTACAAGCAAGTTAGAGGAGCTGATAAGTAGTTTGCTTATGAGCTCACAGGTTGTTGGTACCACCACAGAATATGAGGATAAAGGAAAAGTAGGTGGACTTTGTACTCTTTTCTCAACAGAACAGTCAGAGTTTGGATCAGAGATTGCTAAAGAGAAAACATTGGCAGATAATGCAACTGTTGCTTGGAAAAGTGACCAGAAGAATGGGAAGACTGACAGCCCATCCAAAGGCTTTACTGAGACTGTTTTCAAAGCAAAAGAAGCAGTCCTGGAAGACACCCACAGTAGCATGGTAAGTAACAATAGCTGATATGTTCTCAGTATCTTATGTTAAAGGAATTGCATGAATTCTTCCAAATGCTGGAGAAAGTAATTGAACTGGAAAAATTAAATGATAAATTTAAAATAAATCATAATAAACCCAAGGACTTTTATTGTTAATTTTCAGTTCTGTCAGTTTGGAAAAACTTCTCTTATTTTTGAAACTCATTTTCAGTTTGATGGAGTACAGCAATGTTTAACATTCATAGAGAAAATGCAAAGACATTTGGCAGTGCTTCAAGATATGAAGAGCCACCTAGATAACCAGCAACCTATTAGTAACAATCTGGAAATACTGAAAGATGAACTGAAACAGCTAGAGGTAAGTAAAATGTTCTTTATGCTTGTACTTCAGTGATGGGTGCTAGGAATAGCCCTTAGATTAAAAAAGAGAGACTTAAAATATAATTAAAGTAATTCAGAGTAAAATGTCTTTCTTAGTAACTTAATCTATTTTATATATATTCTCTTCTTAGTCATTTGAATCAGGACTGGCTACGTTTGCAATTGTCCTAAAAAAGGACATGAAGTTAACGGAAGAATTCTTCAAGTTTTGTAACAGGGATGTTCCAGAAGAGAAACTTAAAGAGCTAAAGATAAGCTATGACTATTTGCAGGAAGCATTTTTGGTGGTCTGTGATACATCTTCAAAACGAGCCAAACAAATACTCTGTGCTGTTGACTCAGAAATGGTATGTTTTTATCAATGTATGTTTTTACCTTGGTTCTCTTCAAGGTAATTGAACTAAAATGAAGGAAATCGGTTTTGCTTTCTTTAGTTTCATCTTAGTATAAAAATATGTGTATGATTCAATTTAAGATGGTAGCAAGTGTGACTAGACTCCAGGAGCACAAATAAATATACAACTTCCCTTTCCAGTCTAAGCTTGGAGTAATGCACCAGCAACTTTTAAGTAAACTGCAGAGATTTTCAGACTGGATCACAGAGAACAGTAAAATCGTGAATGACTTCACAATGAATACTAATGATATGGAAGAGATGAAGAGAAGTTTACAGCTATTTAAAGTAAGTATTCCTTATGGCAGGTGTTGGTGCTTCAGACAAATGTTGCTCCTTACAATGGATTATTAGCTAGGTTTTGTATTCAGGCTCATTAATTTTTATCACTTAAACAGACAGCTAGAAGTAATTACTTAAGAAACAACTACTTGATAATCCAGTAATAAAATCTTGTTGATTTGTGTTTTCCCTTGCAAAAAAAGTATTATTAAGTTGGGATTACTGAGAAAGCTATTGGCTCTGCTTACATTTGTTACAGTAAATCTGAAACTTTTGGAAATCTGATTTATAATACAAATATTTCAGTGATTGGATCTTTATGCATAAGGTTCAGAATCTTTACCGAAGTTTAATTACCTTTCAAATCAATTATATATATGTGAGAACACAAGGTGGGATAAAAAGTCTCTTCATTACACACTCCATAAATTCATCACCATGAAAAAGAAATTGGATCAGATTTTTAGTAAAGTTCATACACCTCTGTGTGTATGAATGGTAAAACTTTTTTAATTTGTTTTAATGTGCTTTAATGAAGTTCTGGTATACATGGTAATCTCATAGGGGTTCCACGGTATGTAACTATTGTCAGAATTTGCCACATTGCTAGGAATGGGACTTCTCTCTGTGAAGTTAAGAATAAGAATGATTTCAAGTAAGTATTTTAACATTTCTGGGTCTTCAGACCCAGAAATGTCAAAATGTTACACCTAATTTGCCATAAATCTTCCATAGTTGAATGACAGTCAGTTGTGAGGCATCCATGACAGAGTAAAGAGAGAGAGGTGTGCAAGATCACATTATTTGTTACTTGGAAACAGACTGTCCTGAGAGAAACCACGCACAAATATTAATGTCATACAGCTGAATATATCAGAATGCTTCCGAGTTTTGATTTACTGGGACTAAACTGTCTACCAAAAGCAATTGGGTAGACACTTTCCAAAAGGAAAGTGGGGACAGGGGCTAAGAAAAGGTGATAGGGATACTTGTGTTTTATTTGTACTGGCTTTTTTCTTTATTGCTAGTAATTCCCTTCACTTCATTTACAGAACAATTCTGCAGAGCTCAGCCGTGAAAAAATGCAACTGGAGTCCACTGCGTTTGATGTTCAGTTTTTCATTTCTGAACATGCTGAAGATCTTTCTCCTAGTCAGAGCAAACAACTGCTGAGGCTTTTAAATACCACCCAGAAATCTTTTCAGGAAGCACAGGAAGCAATAACTTCTCAAATGGAAAGTTTAGAGACTCAGTTACAGGCAGTGCAAGAGCTGGGTGATCAGAAGGTTTGCCTTTCTGTGTAAATGTGCACTAAATGTTTCTGTCTATGGATGAGGAATTTGAATACCAGCATGCAATATTGAGTGTATTCCTATCTTTTTCCTTTTTACTGTGGATATTTCATAGTTCTACAAAGGGGGTAATGATCAAGTTTGGTGAATTGTCATTTTTGCCTTTCTTGGTACAGTCACAGAAACAGCATATTATTATGACCAGACATGGGTCTGCTCTTTGTAGTAATGAGAGAAATTTACTTGAGGTTTCTCACAAGTGTTGTTTCTTTAGCAGCTATATCAGTAATTGATCTGAGCTATATTAATCACTGAATTTACTGTCACACCATTGCTTATCACTTCTGTCTTGATTTTCTTTTCCTTTAATTTGCCAGGTTGTCTTCTTATATTTATAGTACTGTGCTTATCTTTACAGTTACAGAACGAGATTTGTTAAAATCCTAGCTACCATGGCTTGTTTCGACTGAGACAGGTTAGAGGGACAGACATATGAGTAAACCAGCCAAGATATTTGCAGTTGTAGGCGTGGGCACTGGGAATGCTCTGAGTCAAGTGGTGACAGTTACATCTTCAGCTGGCATGGATGCAGTTGGCAAGTGTAAGCAGCCTTTGCAGAGTCAAAGGAGGCTGATAAGATTCTGCAGCATAACTGCATCTCCTCTCCTCTTACAGAAGCACTGTTAAGACTCAGGTTCACCACCTCAGCCCCCATTTTATGCATAATAAAAAGTGCTTTAGTATTCTGTAGACTTTGTATTATTTTGCCATGCTAAGAACATTTGTTTCCGCTGTATTTTGTGAAAGAAACATAAAATTGAGTATCGGAAAGGCACAGATAAGATTTCTAGGACTTTGTAACAATAACGAGCTTGCATGTTTTGTTCTTCTGTACTGCTTAAAAAGTTGACAGTTTCTATTCAGGTAACATATTTTGCATACCAACAAGAGCTAACTCACATTCACAACTAACCTCTGTTTTGATGTCCTTTTTTCAGAATTAATAATGTTTATCACAGGTTTGAAGTGGTTAAGAAACTGGATTTTCACTCTTGTCATTTGGAGATTTCATCCTTCACATATGTGCATGGCCAGACTACTATCGGGCAATTCCATCAAACATGGTCTCTTTTACTTACACATTTGAGGTTTATCCATAACTTCTGTATGTTCATCTTGCTCTTTGTACCACTGCTATCATGTTTACAGCATACTTTAAAAATTATTGCTTTGCAATATTGATGTTCAAAGATATTCTAATACTTATTTAGTGTGTCTGCTGATTCCTGAAGTGAGGACTTGTTGTTTTATTTTTCAATTGTACTTGGCTCCAATGTAGGATGTGGCTGAACGGCAGCAGGAATGCAAAGAGAAACTCCAGGAAATCTGTGATTTGCTTACACAAACTGAAAATCGACTCATTGGACAGCAAGAGTCTCTTGTTATTGGAGACAGCAAGGCTGAGCTGGAACAATACCAGACCAAACAGGAGGTATGCACGATTCTAGTCAGAGAAGTTAAAGAATACTGAGTGCAGAGGAGAGTGACTGAACTCTTTTGTTGAGTAACAAGACTTGTCATGTGAGAGGAAAATAAAATAGATTTGTTTGACCTACGCAAAGTAAAGGCTTAGTGGCTTGCATTTAAACTGCTGCCCATGACTACACTCCAGTATGAACCAGTGGGAGAACAGAAATTTCCAAATGAGGAGACACCAAAATAAATGCTACACATTTCAAAAAGCACTCTTGAAGCAGGCATGAAGTTTGTTAATATATTAGCTTAAGATTATTCCTGTCAAATGTGATAAAATCACAAGTTTTGCTTGTGCTAAAATAATTCAACCAACTTTTTAACTGGTATCAAAGCGTGTTTATTCCTGTTCCAGTATTTTGAAAAATTTTGATGCAAGGCTTTCTCTTGCCTGGGGCTTTCCATTGCCTCACTCTTGTTTTGGTTTGAATTCTGGTTTTTATTAGTGTTTCTTGGAATCTCTTTGGCGTCCTCATGTAACAAAGCCCTTTCAGTTTGCTTGCTTTCCTTGCTCTTCAGCTGTTAGTAGTCATCTATAAACTTTGACTATGTCCTGACTGATACGGAGTTTGTGATAGTTAAAGAACTGAAGAACTTGGTGTTCTTCTTCCTCCTTCTCCTAGTAATAGTTTGCTATACTGTAAAACTCCAAGTCAGGTTTAGTAATGTATAAAGGCAGAAATTTCCTTATGCATCTTGCCTTGCTTTGTTTATCTTTGAGGTGATACATCTAATTTGTCAAAGTTTTCTTATTGCCAGTGGAAAGATACAGACACTGTTTTGGTATCTCTTACCTATCTTAAGAATTTGTGGCCTAAATGGGTTATCCACATACTTGCTGAAGTATTAAAATGAGCTGCAGTTTTAGCTACCAAACTGTATTCCATAATTGCTGCAAAATCTTTAGTCTAGAATGAGAACCAGATATTCTGTCTTGCAGCTCCAAGATTGGTATACTGCATAAAAAGACAAAAAGTGTCATTGTTTCAATAACTGGGTTAATGTACTCAACAGCATAATTGTTGTAATTAAAGCTCCTCTCAGATAACTGGGAGGGAATCTAGGAAAACCACTTTGGATAAATTGAAACTAAGTATCTGTCCTCTATGAAATTCAATGGATGTAAACATTCTTCTGAGACTGAAATATTATGATTGATTAAAACTAAAATAAAAGTATTCTTATGCCATTCCTGGCCTGAACAGAACAAAAAAAGTATGGGAAAACTTCCAGCTAGGAAAGATAACTACAATTTCCTAACCTCTATTCAGTCACTTTATTTTCAGCAGCTTTCTGTTAGGATAGTAATGGAAAGAATTTGTCAGGAGACTCACTAACTGCAATGTAACAGATTTACTTTATCTCTTGATTTCTATAACATAATACATATGTTTTTCTCCATCATGGAAATGCAGTATTTGAGCTTCTAAAGAAAGGAGAAAAAGTGGCCTGAGTCTGAATAGCAGTGTAAGCCAACAGACGTGAAATTAAAAAAAAAAAAAGGATTGAACTGCAACAACATTGTCAGATGTTGATGTCTTTGATTTTGGTAATTCTATCTGCAGTTTAGTAATGTATCATATACTTTCCCAAGTTAGAAAGGACCAGTGTGGTGCTTACCCCAGAAGAGGGAGAGTTCCAATAAAGTTAATTGGACGAATCTGGTTAATAATTTAATTATTTTTATGTGCTTTCTTTTTTCTCGAAGGAGATACAAAAAGACATGAGGAAAAGTGCCCAGACACTGGCAGAGATTGTGAAAAATACTGAAACGTTCTTGAAAGAGAATGGAGAAAAGTTGTCACAAGAAGACAAGACTGTTCTGGAACAGAAACTGAATGAAGCTAAGACAAAGTGTTTGCTCCTTAGCCAGAAAGCAGAAGAGTCCAAGAAAGAACTTGATAAAGCTATGACAACAGCAATTAAGCAGGAAACAGAAAAGGTTTTTGGGCAACCACTTTGTACCTTTGTTCAAACTTTTTACATGTCTTATGGGATTAGTCTTGCAATTTACCCTTGTGTGGTGGGTTGATCTTGTCTGGATGCCAGGTGCTCACCAAAGCCATTCCATCGCTTTCCTCCTCAGCTGGACAGGGAAGAGAAAATGTAATGAAAGGCTTCTGGGTGGAGATAAGGGCAGGGAAAGATCACTCACCAGTTACTGTCATGGGCAAAACAATCTTGACGTGGGGAAATTCATTTATTACCAATCAAATCAGAGTAGGATAACAAAAAATAAAAATGAAATCTTAAAAATACCTTCCCTCCACCCTCCTTTATTCCTAGGTTCAGCTCCAGAATTCTCTCCCTCATTCCCGCCATTGTTGCAGGGGGATGGGAAATGTGGGCTAAGTCAGTTCATCACACATTGTCTCTGCCACTCCTTCCTCCTCAGGGGAAGGACTCCTCACACTTTTGCCATGCTCCACTGTGGGGTCCCTACCATGGGAGACAGTCCTTCATGAACTTCTCCAAGATGAGTCCTTCCCACTGGAAGGCTGCAGTTCTTCAAGAACTGCCCCAGCATTGGTACCTTCCATGGGCCGCAGTCCTTCAGGAACAGATTGTTCCAGTGTGGGTCCCCCATTGGGTCACAAGTCCTGCCAGGAGCCTGCTCCAGCGTGGACTTCCCATGGGGTCACAGCCTCCTTCAGGCATCCAGCTCCAGCACAGGGATTCTCCATAGGCTACAGGTGGATCTCTGCTCCACTGTAGACCTCCGTAGGCTGCCCCACCATGGTCTTCACAATGGGCTGCAGGGGAATCTCTGCTCTGGCTCCTGGAGCACCTCCTCCCTCTCCTTCTTCACTAATCTTAGTGTCTGCAGAGTTGTTCCTCTCACATATTCTCACTCCTCTCTTCAGGCTGCAGTTTTTCACACACCCTTCTTAACTATGTTACCCCGGAGTTGCTGCCACCATCACTGGTGGGCTCAGCATTGGAAAGTGATGGGTCTATCTTGTATCTGGCTGGGATGGGCTCTGTCAGACACGGGAGAAGCTTCTGGCAGAGAAGCCATCTCTGCAGCCCTCCTGCTACCAAAACCTGGCCACTCAAACCCAACTCATATTGATAAACTGTAGGGAGATTAAAGTCATATTTCATTTGAGTAACTAATGAACTGATGGTTTATTTTCTTATTAAAAACCCAGCAACTTCTATGTCAATCAATAATTCACTTTAATATTAATGTATTTTAAATGGTCTGTTTCCATATGATATTTTGTAATGCTTACAGAAGATTTCCAAACTGAAACTGTGAAATTTCAATGTAGGTTGCAGCCATAGAACAGCTGGAAGAAAGCAAAAACACAATAGAAAATCTTTTGGATTGGTTATCAAATGTGGATAAAGAAGCGGAGCATGGCCGGAAATTTAAGAAAGTGATAGAACAGAATGGAACACACTTTGAAGAAGGAGATGTGAAAGTTTTGGAAGGAGAGGAGGATGATGTCAATGGTAATCTGCTGGAAATGCAGCCAGACATTGAAACTCAGGTGGATGGACTAGTAAAAAGCACAGATGATAATCTGAACCAGCAGTATCAGAAAGTCAAGGTACTGTTTTTACTGGATGTATTCAGTATTTAGGTGCTAAGCATATTAGTCCTTATTCAACATAAGTGAAGACAATCTCATCTGTTCTGTTGTGGGCTTTGGAACAGGCACTAGGAAGATTGTGATATATAGTGGCAGGAATTTCAGTAGTTAGAATGTATTGCATATTTGTCATTTTTTTGCTGTTACTATAGTTTTTTCTTGCAAGTAAATATAAAGAATCTTTGTGATAAGTCTATTATTATTTTGTATGGTGAGAAATTAATGCAGGTAAATAAAATGCAAAAAGTAGCAATGTAAACTCATACCCTTTATGTGACTTGTCCAAAAATCTTTGTGATAGCCAAATTATGCATCCCCCTAGAATCCCCTGTAAACACTGATTGCCAGTGGCTGCAAATAATAGTTTACTGAAATTACTATCTTCATTCCCCGTAACTTTAACCCATGGGCAAAGCAGTATTTGAAGGCTTTGGAAGAGTGAGTTACGTAAAATCACAGTGTGGCATTTTAAAAATAGATTTTCCAGGTATGGTAATTGGAAGCATTAAAAATAATAAGAGCTCATTTTTATGGTGTTTGTTGGCTTACAGTTGAGAAACCAAGGTGTGGGTTGATGGACATCTTAGTAGAAATTATTATACTTACAACTGATACTATTTTGGATTTCCTTTCATATTAAAGAAAAACCCAACCAAAACCCCAAAAGCAACCTAAGAAAATAAGATACTTTGGTTTTGTGTACATGCTGCTTTTACTTCCACTTTTTTGACAGTTCTTTTCTGCATCTAGTGCCCATTGTACTTGTGGAAAAAAAATCTACCAGTTTATTTTACATGAGAGTGGAAGAACTTCAAGAATAAAGAGCTTTTTAAAATATATTTGAAACATGGTTTTTATTTGACACCCAGTTCTTGTGGTTTAGCTCTTTTTATGGGGTTGAAAAATTTACATGCATAGATTGTGTCTTGATTTTTAATGTCAAAAGGACCTGCTTTATGACTAACTATATTGATAAGAATCACTGGTCTTGATTTTGAAAAACAGGAAATAGACTGTTTTTATTTGGAAAGTTACTTACTTTTGAATGCTTTATTTGTTAAATCCCATTTTGAGACAGGGAAATAGGAAAATTTATATTACACTAAGCACACTACCATAAATGCTAAGCAATAAGCAAATAATTTATATTAGGGAAAAAAAGTTAAAAAGTTTGATAATGTCCAGTTTTGCTCTACAATGCTGTCTTTTAGAAGTACTGGGGAAGATGTTTGTGTTATATATACATCCAGGTATTGCTGAGTTGCAGTAATTATCTGAAGCCATTCATTTAGCCATGGCTTATTTATCTGGCAAAAATTACCATTGAATGTTCTGTAAAATTTTGAAACTGCATGAAAATATGATGACCAGGAGTCACTAAAATTACTGAAAAAACATGGGCTTTTAATAAATAATATGAAAAGTAGAAAAGCCTTTTATCATTTTGATGGACTTTGTTTTGCATATCCTTTTCTAGGGAACCATCTGAGAAGGTGCTGGTCATAGTTTATTTTTCTTTTTCTTGTAGGCTCAACATGAGAAAATTATTTCACAGCAGCAAGCTATCATAGTAGCAACTCAGTCTGCTCAGGCACTGCTGGAGAAACAAGGGCACTACCTTTCCCCTGAAGAAAAAGACAAGATGCAAAGGAACATGAAAGAGCTGAAGGCTCAGTATGAGACTGCTTTAGCCGAATCAGAACGGAAAATGAAACTGACTCATTCTCTAAGAGAAGAACTGGAGAAATTTGATGCAGACTATAGTGAATTTGAAACCTGGCTGCAGCAGGCAGAACAAGAACTTGACAATTTGGAGGCAGGGGCTTCTGACTTCAGTGGTATTATGATCAAACTGAAAAGGCAGAAGAGTTTTTCAGAAGATGTTATATCTCACAAAGGTGATTTACGGTATATTACGATTTCTGGACAAAGAGTTTTAGATGCTGCAAGGTCGTGTAGCAAAAGAGATGGTGTGAAGGTTGACAAAGATGGTATCGATACTTCAGCAACATACACTGAAGTGCAAAATAAACTGGACAGTGCTTCAGATCGCTTCAAATCCCTCTATACTAAAGTAAGTTTTATTTATACTGAATAGGAAAGACTACTGTAATTGATTTAGCAATTTGTATAGAAAGGAGTTAGCTGATGAAACAAACACTGTGGGAAGTTGTACATTCTTTTTTTCTCAAAGTTAGATAACAGAACAAGATGCTTTTCTAGAAGATCTGCTTTAGTCAGGTGCTGGACTATTTAATGTCTGAAAGGATTAAATTTTCTACTACATGTTATAAGGGACAAAGAAGACCAGATATGTTCATTGTTCTTTCCAACCTTAAACAAACTCTGCATTTGTGGCAGTATGGGATGGCTGAATAACATTTTGGAGTGTAAGAAATTGTAATACTTTTAGATGGATAACATTTCTTTATGTTACTTACAATATTTCCCACAACTGCTTATTTACTTGGCTTCCTACTAATAAAATGAATGCAAAAAGAGAGGAACTGTACCAAGGTTAGCATGCAAAATTTCAAATTGGTTTGTATTCTGAAATAGTTTGTCCCAATATGACCTTTGTTGTCTGCACTAGGCATGCAGGAACATAGTCATTTGAAGATATAAATTCTTTTCTGCAGCTCTGCCAAGTAAACATTTTATCCTTAACAATCTGAGATTAGTCTCTAACTAATGAGTAATTAGTAATGCAAAATCCTCCATGTACCTTAAAGAGGGAAGATAATCTGTCTCTCTGCGCCAGGTTCATGTATGGAATCTGCCCGGTAGAATTAGACAAACATCACCAGCTGGTCTCACATGCCAAATTTCCGGCTGTTTTCAAAAAACCAACACATTGTTGATCAATACTGAAAATATTCCAGAATTTTGAACTTTTGAGATAATTATTAATTGAACCATTTAAGACAGAGTTACTGTCAGTATCCTTTGACCATGCCATTTCATAATTTTCTAAGATCATAGGTTCAAATTCATTAGTAGAACTTCAGTGTCCAGTGGTATTGTGTTCGTGTGCAACGGTGGCCATCTTTGTCTGGAAATTTTTATCTCTTTAAGGCTTTTTGGTCAGAAGTATAAATTCTGTAAAGACATTAATTTGATTGCTTGATTACAAAAACAGGGTAAAACTTGTTCTCTCAGTATGTGAAGGTAGCTGTTCATTTACAAAAGCTTGTTTTCATTTTCCCACTTAACTTGTATGAACAGGGAAGCTAAAGCTTGTATTGACACGTTAGATTTCCTCCAGTTGGTTTATTGGATTAGTCTTGAGTATGAATATAAAAATTTTATTGAAAAATTTTCAGAGAGCTTATTTTTATGCGTATAAAAAGTCTACACCAGCAGCTTGATTTGTGGTCTCAGATTTGTCAATTTGCCAAATTCTGTCCTTTCCATATATACATTTAGCAGAGTTATAGCAGATATACTTTAAGTATTTGACAATAATTATCCAGAGCAAAGTAGAGTTTTCAAGTCTTGAAGGACAGAATTCTAAAAAGTGAGATCTTCCAAGTGGTAAATGAGTTTATAGTAACCTTTTTACCTTTTGTAAAAGCTTCTTGCTTTTAATAAATACTTATATTGCTTTCCCTTTTGTATATATGCATTCGTACATATGTGAGACTTGGTTTTATAGGCAAATGTGTTGAAGGAATCTCAAGTCAGTTCTTGGTTAACTGGTTATGTAAATGAATGTGTTCTATGTCTGCCCACCAGATGGAGACCAAGTACCATGTGTAAACATTAAAGTTCAGTGCCTGGAAGGTTCAGAGTATAAATATTTAATGTAAACGTTTATAAATATTATGACTTGATACAATCATGTTTTGCTTGTGAAACCATCTCCAGAAAGTCTGAAAGAGTTCCACTGACATTTTTACATGGTAATTCACTCTAGACCTTTGGGGCATGCTGATGTATAGGGCTAATAGGATCTTGTTCAGATGACACTAAGTGACCGAAACAAAGCGTATGTACAATAGCAAGCCGTATCACTTTGGATTCACTATGCAACTAAAGTATTTATGAAGGCCATACTCCACTGTGTGTGTTTTAATGAACATACATATCTCTCCTGATTTTTTTTTTTGATTTGTCGTTTCCACTGGCTACATTATTGATATCAGAGTGCTGATAAAGAATCTTCACATTAATGAATCCAAAAGTATTCCTAAAGCTAGTGCTATGGTTTAGATTCCAGTTTCCCACCTGCATTGGTAAATTGATCCTAAATCACCTTTCAGGAGCACAAACTGGGAAGACCTGCATAGCCTGTCCAGCTGTCATGTCTTAGTTCGGAGATCAGGTAGACAGTGGGATGATGGCAGGAAAAAATCATGCAGTATTTCAGGAAGGAAGGAGTGTATGACTTTGAGATTGGTATGAAATGCGGCACACACTTTAATGCCTGGGTATTTGCCTGTTTGTTTTCTACTCTTTTAGTGTAGCATCCTTGGAAATAACCTCAAAGACCTGGTGGATAAATACCAGCATTATGAAGATGCCTCATCTGGACTTTTGTCAGGTCTCCAGGCCTCTGAAATAGCTGTGAACAAGCAACTGTCAGAGCCAATTGCAGTGGATCCCAAAAATCTCCAAAGGCAACTTGAAGAAACCAAGGTGAAAAGCTATAAAATGCAAAAGTACTTTTGTCCTAAAAGAAACTGCTTTTTGTCTGAAAAACAGGATGATCTAATATAATCCAAGTGGATGCAGGCCAAATTCTTGCCCTGCATGTGGGCATTTAACTTTTCTGGTTCTGAAATTTGGCAGTTCAGAGTGATATCTGAGAAGCATTGAAAAGAAAAAGATGCTATTAACAGTGGTGAAAGTGAAAGCAAGATGTGTTTTATATCACTTAGCAAATGATAGGGTGAAATCTGAAAAGTTTTTGAACTAAGATAGGATTTACTGATTACAGTTGGCTATCAGAGTAGGATTTGGGATAGAATTCCTTACAGAGAATTCCATGTGATTGTTGTCTGTGACTCTTGATTTTCTCTGTTCACATTTGTGTGTTACTTCGTTATGAAAGGGATTATACCAGAAAAGCAGTGAGTAGTCTGTTTGCCTGCTTCAGTTGCATTCAGTGTTATATTCCCTGCAGAGAGGGAATATAACGTAATTTGCGCTGCACAGAAAATCAGTGTTTTTTATTTTTCCCCACTGAGCATGTAACTCATGACTTTAGGTAAATCCTAGTAGAGGCAAAAAAAAGTTAGTGATAGAGCTTGTGAAGGTAAAACTGCAGTTATCTGCATGAAATGTAGGTTTAGAGAAAGCTTTAGGAACCCAAGTATAAGGTAATTTATATGAAGTTTCATACACTCTGTCATCATTGAATGGACACTTGTATTTTCATAAACACATCCCATCGCCTATAATATAAATAAACTGAAGATTCTTTGTTTTTCAGTGAGCAAGGCTACTGGTCTGGCATTTCCTCATTGTTTTGTCTGTGGTCTATGGAGTATCAGTGCAGGCTGGATATGTTTACTATTGACAAATCATAATCATTTCCCTTCCATCAGCCTGAGCAGTAGTTACTTTTACCTATGATATTTTTCAAATCCACCTTTGCAATTGCCCAACACTTGGGTGCATGACATCAAAAGGAGACAAATCACAGCCATGTTTAAGACAAGAAAATTAAAAGTGTAAGTTTTAGACTCCTAACAATGGAACAGTTTAGGTACATTTGTGCTTCCAAGTGCTAGAAGAGAAGAAAAACACCAATCACAATTTGAAGCTTCATTTAAACTTTTTGTTCCTTATGCCAAAGTGAATTCTATCCTCTATAATGCAAATTTTCATGGAAGTAATACAAAAGGAGTGAGGACTGGGGTTCTTTTTATGAGATGTCTAAATGGATTAGTTTCCACACAAAAGAGCACTCAATGAATATGAGCTGGGAAGAAGGGAGAGGGTACAACTTGTCAAAAGATTCAAAGGAGGAGAAAAAACAGGAGGCTGAAGAAAGAAAGCCAATTAATGAAAGCAAAACAAAGAGTATTTTGAAGAAGTCAGGTGTTGCAATTTAAAGCTGTCCCTTGTAGCCAGCACATGCAGCTGATAATCCAGCTAGACATAGGCCTTGGCAGCATGATGAGGTCTAATCTTTTTATGGGGATTAACTGTTCTTCAGAATATTCTTCAGTGCCTCTGGCATCAGCTTGCTTGCCTTCTGCCAGCATACAAAGTTTTCTGGTACTTTTTTTTTTTCTTTCTTTCTTTGTCTTTTATATTTTTTTCCACACAAGTACTAGTGTAAGGGAAGTTCCTCTTCAGGTCTCTGTGGTTCACTGTGTCAGTTTGGTCAGCAAGATGTACTGTGTTCTGGTTGTGCTTTTGAGGCCATTGTTGAATGCACTGACATGTCTTCTTTGCCCTGGCAGGGCACATAGCATTTACCTTTTGCTTCATATATTCACTGAGTTAGTGTGTATCAGAAAATAAATGAGAAGTACCTTCATTTTGGACTTGTATTTCGTGCAAGTGAATAAAAACAAAGGCACATCATACAGAGATGCACCTTGCACAGGGGCCTGAAATAATTTAAAGATTATTTACACTATCGTACTTTAATCCCCTTTTAGAAGTTGATTCATCCTTACTGTCTTTGAATCTGGAGTGAATCATGTCTGTGCTAGTATCTAAACATGTATTCCTTGGTTGAATGGACAAACCTAGGAAAAATTCAGTGACACTGGCTCCAGGAGGTTCCTGTCTCTGAAGGCAATCATCTTGTTTCAAGCTGTTCCTGTTTACACTATGATGTCAGTCTGATCCTTTGTCAGTACTACTGATGGTGAATGTGTAACTGCTGCTGCTGACTGTATGGTTTTCCCCTGAATTGTTGTCAGATGCTGAGTTGAAAATATTTATTATATAGAGTCTGTACAAGTGATCTTTAGAAACAATCAAAAGATACATTTTGAAGTTACATGCAAGTTGAGTCAGATAAGCATTCTAAAACAGAAGACAAAAAAGATGGTGAATGAACTAAACAAGGGCCAGAAGTCATAGCCACCCATCAGGATTTTTCTTAGGGAGAGGTGAGAAATTAAATTAGTTTATTCCCAGCACTAAGTTTAGGTTGTATGATGTATCATACCTTGCATATGTAACTATCAACTATACTGAAAAACCTAACTGATAATAGTGGAATTTTACAGGTTCTTCAGGGACAGGTGTCTAACCACCAAATTGCTGTAGAAAAACTGAAAAAAGCTGCTGAAGTGTTATTGGATACAAGGGGAGAGTTGACACCAGACAAAGATGAGATTCAGAAGACACTGGGTAAAATATTTGCTTTTCTTAATACCTCTTTTTATCACTTGTGTCTGCATGCAGGTTGTGGAAGAGACAAAATACAGAGTTTCCACATTCTTGTGTCGCAGTTCAAGTCCATGTTTTGTTGAGTCATAAGCCATTACAACATACAGGCCAAAAAACCTGTGACTAACCAAACCTTACCACCACCAAAACACAATACACACACAATACACACAATACTCTTTCCCTGTCAGTTGTGAGAAGTAGCACAGCATGACATTCACCACTGTCTAAGTTTGAAGACTCTCTCTGTGTATCACACAACTATCTCTTACTGGAATCCCAAAAGTAACTTGGAGAACAACAAAATAAAACAACTGGGAGCTTGCCTCTTTGGAGCTGGTGATGAAACTCCATAGGAGGTACATGGAGCTTGACTTTCAGAGAGTTATCTTGAAAATGTTGAATGTCTGATGAGGAATCATCTGGAAGAACTTCTCAGCTCTCACAATAACATGAGACGCAATTGTAGAAGAGCTGTTTCAATAATCTGCTATTTTATTTCTTGGTAACAGTCTACAGCTGTCTTAAGCTAGAGCTTCATTGGAACCAGTTTCTAAAGCTGGGCACTACAGCCGTAAGCTGCTCTCCATTTGCCTTGTCCTGTGTGTTTCTTGGCTCTGTTTGAAGATTTTGATCTTTGATTCTGTGTTATTAGTGACTGAAGCTGGTATTTTTTTCTTCATTCTGATGTAGCCATTTTTGACTCACTTAAATGGTAAGATCTGGTAAAATGAGTTAAAAGCTTAGAGGCTAGAGGAAAATGTTGAAATTATTTTCTCTTTATCAGATGATATTGTGGAGAGGTATGACAATTTATCCAAATCCGTGAATGAAAGGAATGAAAAACTTCAAGTAACTCTGACACGATCCCTGAGTGTGCAAGATGGTTTGGATGAAATGATGGATTGGATGGAAAGTGTTGAAAAGAGCCTTAAGGAACAAGAACAAGTGCCTTTGAATTCTGCTGCTATTCAGGATATTATTAGTAAAAGCATTGTAAGTAGCATTCTTTGAAAGAAGAAACATAAGTTTGATAATGCAGATTTCAAGAAAGAATTAAAATCATAGTTCGGCACCTTTAATGGTTTCAAAATACTTACTAAAGAGGACTGTTGTGTGAAGTAAAACTGCACATAAGAATTTTTGTAGCTGAAATAGATCTACACGAGTGGTCTAGCTGTACTGATTTGTTGCTTTATATGGTGGACCAGCTTCATTTCTTAAAATTTAGTTAAAAGGAGTGCAAAGCAGTTCTTGTTTGTTTCAGATGCTGGAACAAGACATTGCAGGTCGCCAAAGCAGTATAAACACTATGAATGAAAAAGTGAAGAAGTTCACGGAAACAGCAGATCCATCCACTGCATCCACGCTGCAAGCTAAAATGAGTGAACTTGCAGGACGGTTTTCTGAAGCAAGTAACAAGCATAGAGAGAAGCTTCTGAAAATGGAGGAGTTGAAAACTAAAGTGGAGTTATTTGAAGGTCTGTCAGAAAAACTTCAGTCATTTCTAGATGAGAAGAACCAAGCCCTCAGTGAGACAGAGGCACCAAGAAAGGATGTTAGTGAAGTGTCTCAGTACATGCAGGTACTGCAGCATTCAATTTGTCTATATTGTGCATTTTTAGTCTAACTCCTCTGATTGAACAATAAATAAGGCATGCTTTTTTCCCAGCTTTGGTTGGTTAGCTAAAATCAAGAGTTGAATTTTCAACAAGTGATTGTTAAGTCTAGAATGAAGAATGTAATCCTATTTTGCAGGAAGCTAGTGTAGAATTGGCACAACACAAGAAGGATCTGGAAGTTTTGAAGCAGCTTGTTGAAGAACTTTCATTTCATGCTCTTCCTGGAGATAAAGCATTGGTATCAGAAAAAGTAAATACTTTATCTAAGAAATTCAAAGAGGTAGAGGAGACTATAAAGGAAAAGTAAGTTGAATAATCTAAGTGTTTCCGCTTTGGCTAATAACACAGTGTGAATGTTGTGATGACTGCTATCCTTTTGTGTGCAATCTCAAGAGACTGCAGTTAACCAAAGTAAGCGAGGGGGTTTTATTTGAAGAGATTCTATTTGAAAATGCCTCTGTAGTTAGTCTGTCTGGCTCAAGAGCACTAATATGGACGGTAAAGACAAGTAACTTTTCAAATTTTGTGACATTCACAAGGATCCTGGCAGTTTTAAGAAAACCCTTCTCTGATAGAACAGAAATTGCTGCTTATAAAGCATATTGCTTTAGAGTATCATTTGGCGTCAAAGCTGCAAAGGAAAACTAGAGAAATTATAGAAGATTCCATGTAAGTTACCTTTACAGCAAGACTAGATTTTGTACATTCTACTTATATCCCTAAAATTAACTTTTGTGACACTTTGAATTTAGGAATAGTAATATCAGATTGATAACATCTGTTGGTTTAATTATCGGAAGGAATACAGTTATACCTTTAATTGTTTTTAATTGTCTAGAGAAGAGGATGTATCATCTTGTCAGAAACAAATGGATACTTTTGAGCTCCTCGTAGAATCATTAAAGAAATGGATAAAAGAGACCATAGAACGAATTCCAGCAGCGCAACCCTCCCTGAATACAGAGGAATTAAAGAAACCTTTGGAAGATACACTGGTAAGGTATTGTAGAGGAAAAGTGAAATATGGCTGAAAAAATGAAAGCATCTGTTACAAACATTAAAGTACAGATTTAAGGTGTAAGCAGTCATAGTAATTGGGATTAGGGAACTTGCTGTCTGCATTTACGTTCACATTTCTTTTGCACGTTTGCAGGGGGTTCTCAAGTAGCAAAGTTGTTCCTTTCTTTACACTAAATCCTTTAAGTCTGAAAACAGTTTTGTAATGATCAAATTACTATCTTAACCAGAATTTAAAAGATGAATGGACATTGAAAGCACCTGAACTGCAGAAAATGAATAGCAGAGGAACTTTGCTGTGTAACCTAATTACTGCTGTGACTTCTCCTGCAAAACTGAGAGCAGTTGCCAAATCAGGTAAGTCAGGTATGCATTTGTATAATCAGGTAAGCCTTATCCTTTAAGACAAAAATTATTCACCTTTGGATTAGCATTCTGAATTATTATGGCTTGTGAGAAATTATTTAGCTATGTCTCTTCTGGCTGTTGTTTGCTGTGATTCTCATTCAAACTTTCTAATTGCTGTAGTAATTCAACACACATTCTAATTGTTTTACTCTGCCAAAATTGTGTATAAGTGCTCTGATGTTAATGATTAACAGATCCTAAAGCTTTACTTTGGTATGTAATTCTCAGATAGTGAATAAAATGACAGCATCACAGTTGCCTTCACCTCACCTCAGAAAGCTTCTGGCACTGAGAAATTGACTTATTCTGAAGTTTATTGTTTATTCTGATAAGTTCAGTGATTCCCATATCCATCAAGTCTGCAAGCAGGAGAAATACAAACCTTGCTTTTGCACACACTAATGCACCTGCACAGAGATACCTCTTTAATGGCCAGAAGGCTATTCTGTGATACCAAGCAAACACAGAAAGGTTTGCAGAGTCATGGAGTTTTTGTTAGAAGAGTAATGAGGGCATGGTTTACCTAAAAAGTGAGCCTAGGTAAACCTACTCTTCCCAATATTATAGTATATTAATGCTAGTCAGTGTTTTAGTTGAAACAACAACACAGAAGGGTATCAATTTCATATCCCATCATGATTTCCCCAGGCCAAGATGTGTTTTCAGTCTGGACCTTTGACTAAATTCTTTTTAACTGGTAATCAGAATTTAAAGACAGCAAATCTATTTTCACGATTTTCTGTACTCCAGTGTTAAATTTTATTTGTTTTACAGAAACAAACTATTCTGCTAAGTATCATTCCAGCCACAATTAAAGTATGTGGTGCCTTGGGTGTATTAATGACCATAATCACATTTTCAGTCAATTCTTGAACTGACTAGGTCTGGAAATAAGTTCCAGTGTATTGGCCTTCATTGGTCATCTGCAAAGCACTGGGGGGATGGGGACTGCCAGAGGGTACCTAGTGGGGAAAAGTAGAACACTTCCTTTGTCACATCTCTTTGTAGCAGCCACCTGTGGTTTCACTTTTGTTTGAACTTTTAATAAAAATCTTTCAAGGAACATTTCAGAACCTTATTTGGGCTTCTTCCTCTCCTCTTTCTCTGCTTCTGTGCATCCAGATAGAAAAATAGTTAAATAACTATCATGTAAGAGCAGCTATAATCCTCCAGGCTAGAGCATTTGCCTTCCTAGACAAGAGCTTTACTGTGTTTCACTTTAGCACAGTTAAAAATACTGAAGTCAAGCTAATAGAGCATGAAGATTTACAAGACTCTGGCAGGGGCCTATGACTTCTCTTATCTGATTTGTTTTCTCTTACCATCCTCCAGCTGCCACTAATGTGGTCCTCACTGTCCAGCTGGTACTGCAGGGTAGATACATAGCCTTTTCCAAGGAAACCATTAATCTTTCTCTGTTAATTGCTCAGCTGGGAATACATATGTGCAGGAGAGCGGGAAGTGATTCTCCTTGCAGTTCTCTGTGGCCTGATCACGTGCCCCAGCTCTGTGGTCTGACAGTGTTTTAGAAGGCTCATGTAGCTCTGGTTCCAGAGGCTCTGAAATGATGTTTAATTAGTAGGAGTGCTTGCATGAGTGGCTGCCTCCAAGTGGCAGTAAGGACTTCAGGTCTTAACAGTAAGGACTGCACATTGCAATCCCTGTAATGGAACACGTGCTCAAGTCTTGCTTTTGACAGCATAGGGAGGGATTAATCCAATTGGTATCAAGAGCTTTTTGTGCAGAGGTACGGTGGTGAACCATAGAGTCATTTAGGTTGGAAAAGACCCTTAAAATCCCTAAGTCCAAGCATTAACCCAGCACTGCCAAGTCCAGCACTAAACCATGTCTCCTAGTGCCATGTCTACATGTCTTTTAAATACCTCCAGGGATTGTGTCTCAACCACTTCCCTGGTGGGTAAAGGTGCCCTAAGTACATATGTACATACGCACGTGCTATGCATATGCTGTGGATATGTGGTACCACTTATGGTACTGGCTGGCTGGAGCTTTATTCTTTATTCTTGATGTTGTAATAATAGCTATGTATCTTGCTGTTTTGAAGAGGAAATGCTGTGCGGGGGGGTTGGTCTTCCCAGGTGGGAATAAGCATGAGACTTCATCTCTCTTGATCCACAGGTGGCACAATATTAAATGGTGAAGGAGGAGCTCCAGGAACTCAGGATTTCCTGAAAAATAAAGGTCAGTAAAAATTTCAACATGCAATAAAGAAACGTACTTGCTAATTGCTGAAAAATATGGAAGTATTTTTTAATGTTGTACATAAATCTGCTTATTCACACCACCATCACATAAGAAAATTATATTGACCAGGGCATGATACTAAAATTAATTATAACAATACCTATCTCATTATTTTCTTTGAAGACAGACTAAATCTGGCTGTGTTTTGTGACTCAGTGTATACTTTTATAGATGTATACAGGGTTAGCTATTTTGATATAACACATGGCTTTTGAGAAAATTCTAATACATGTCTATGGGGTTTGAAATTTTAACACCCACTAGCACTCACAACAAACATATACACAAGTGTATGTATACAAAGACACCAATTTTATATACATTTGTATCACTGTGACAAAGGAACTTACATAAGACCTTTATATACCTGAACTGTAGCCCAGTACGTTCAACTCTGTGTCATGGAATTGTTGCTTAAAATACTAAAGAAACAATGGGGAGAAAGACTGAGAGGTGTTTGTGTAACTGTACGTATTGAAAAACTGATTTCTGTGAAATAAGTTCTTGCAAATAGGAACTTACATTAGCTCATTCAGATGTAGTGTTGCCACATTTAGAGTGAATTGGAAATAACTCTAACATGTTCATCAACTTCTTATTTGGGGGACTGTTAGCTATTGTAACTCAGAGTACTGTTTAGAAATCCAGGCAATATTGTTTGAAGGACTTCTAAGCTCTAACGTTGTTTTTGTGCACCTTTCCTTTTACAGAACTGACAACTGTTCAACAAGCTATGTCTGATGTAAATCACAGTTATGAAGATTTGGGAGTTTTACTGAATGAAAAGATTTCAGAACTGGAAAATATGCTTTCAAAAATGCAAAATATTCAGGAAGAATCAACCTCAATGATGCATTGGTTGCAAAAAATGGACAAAACTGCATCAAATTGGGAAGCTGCCCCAACTGATAGTGAAGCGGTTAAAGCCCAAGTTGAGCAACATAAGGTACTTTGTGCCTTCAAAAATATACTCTTTTTTATTTGTTATTGGGCAGATGCTATGACATAACTGATATCTCAGCCCAGCTTAATGTTGCTGAGAGTATTTAGATGATCCTAGTAACCATGTCAGTCAGGCTTAGAGCAAATCTGGCAAACTGTGTCAGTGGAATAAAGGAGCACTGTGTCAGAGAGAACCAGTTTTGCAGTTCAGAAAATAGCAGTTTTGGTGTACAGTTAAAGTAGATGAGGCTCTCTTGATTGTGCAGTTAACTTTTTTGATCTCGTTAGAGTTTGAAGGTATATACTAGATTACTTGTAATATCTGAAGGGCTGTATCTGTCCAGAAGCTGTTTCTGCAGCTGCTGGTTCACTGACACTCCACAGACCTCCCAATCTCTGCAGCTGCAGCGGCTTATGTCTCTTCCAAGGCAGTGTTTCTCTTCAGCAGCCTTGTCATGCTTGTTAAGTTATAAAGCTACACAACAGTCTCCTCCCCACTTTTTAACTGATGCGAGAAAACCACTGAATCAGCAGTAGGCTTCTGTCCTGTTTCAGCATCAGAGACATATGCTTCCCTAGCAATGAAGGACAATGTTTACACATGTAAAGGTTCATCTGTAAAGGGAAATGTAATGCATAGGGGAAATTCTTTCCTTGCTTGTGATTGTGTTTAAACAAGGAACAGAATTTGATTTAACTCAGTTTCTTTTATATTTGGCAGATCATCCTTAAAAATTAACCTGAACAGCTACCAACTTTCCTCAGAGCTGGATAACATTCAATCCTAAAATTCAGGCTAAGTGTGGAATAAAACTAGCTCTTTATTTTTTAACAGAGAATATGCAAAGCTAACACGAGCATCTTACCCCGATGTAGTAATGGAAGAATATTCACAAAGAGTTGGAAAACTGAGTGCTTAGGCAGTTTGTTCAGTGTTTATTTTAGTGGGTTTTGGATAATTAAAAAGCAGCTCTCCAGGGCAAGCTTTGTTACTAAAGAACATTTGTATAAGAGCCCTTTGCTAGTCATATAAGAACTGTTCATTTCTGTCTGCAAGAACATCATGAATTAGGATTTGCTGGGGCATCTCAGTCTCCTGTTAGGCCTTACTTTAAGCTATGGTTCTCTTTAAACTATGGTATGGTTTTAGGAGGTATACAATAAACAGTCTGTCTGTGATAGCAGGACTCCTACTGAGGCCACACCACACTCCTCTCCGTTGGTGCTATCTGGGTTATTTCTGCTGTGAAATGTGCTTTGCAGTAGTCAGTTTGCCTTCTGTACACTAACAGATGCCAAGTATGTGTGAGTATGATGGGACCTATTTATCTGAATTTTAGTTCTCTCACTTGTTCGAATTAAGCAATAATTGTTAATGTAGTTTAAATCTTTCAGGTTCTCTCTTCCAAAAAAATGTGACCAGCAACATATACCATTACAAAGTGTTTTGAGATTCATAGCAGAAAAGTAGTATATAAGTGCTAGATGTTTATTGTTTATCTTCATGCTTGACATCTCAATATTAAGAACTTCAAACTTTACCATTCTTTTTTAGTCTCTTATTTATTTATTTTATCACTTAAATTTGCAGCTTTTTGAAACTGAATTAAAGCAAAGTGCTAATAAAGTCCAGGAACTAAAGGACAAAGTAACAGAACTGCTGGAGAAGAACCCTGACTCTCCCGAGGCACCTAAGTGGAGACAAACACTGGATAAAATAGGTACTTCAGTAAAGCTGTATCAGAGCTCAGTAATTTGGAAGATGTTTTATGAATTTTTTAATGTATTACCAATCACTAGTGTTTTAAGTATCTTGCTCCCTCCTACCCCTTAAATTCTGTGGAAATAACTCCGTTAACAGGAGTATAGATCTGGAGTAATGACAGTGATGTCCACAGGCTTTGAATTTGTATCAGTGCAGTTGAGAGAGGCTATAGCTGAACTCCCTGCTTTAAAAGGCTTTGGTTTTTATCTGCAGTTAAAACTTGACTGACCAGACTGACTGCTCAACATACATATTTTATTCTTCTTAGATAATACAACAGATAAGTTGATCCTAATTTCATGTAAAGAACAGTTGGGTTGTTGGTAATGCTCTTCTATGTGTTTTTTTTCCCCCATGAACTAGTGGATTTTGTAATTTGGTAGGTGTGGTAGCCTTTTGCTGTTTTCTAAAACTGATTCTACCCATTTTGCCAGAAAAAAGAAAGGGAAATGACCATGTTTGGACAATAGATTTGGAGATATTGCAGTAAATAGTTGTCATAAGCTTTTAAAGATTCTTTTTAGGTTTGCCATATTTTAAATAAATTATAGGTCAGTCTTGTTCCGCAGTGATAGGCATTTCTATAGCTACACCAGCAATAACTTGGAAGCTGAGGATTTTTCCAATCTATCCTGTTTGTAAGTGAAACTCTGAAAAGTTTAAGTATCAGGTAAGGTCTCCAAGAGATTTTTTTGTAGTGTTGAAAGGGAATTAATACAGAATGAGGAGAGGTCAAAGACTATGAAGCAGCAAAAAGGAACTGAAAAAAACAGGGATGAAGATCAGGACAGAGAGCAAGCACTGACATTTTCACAGAAGGGAAGGGAAGAGTTGCAAGACTGTAAGACCCAATGGCTCCTCTGGAAGCCATTTGCCACAAGTGGAAAAGACCATGCGTTGGCATAGATGGGAGCCTAAGCTCACACAGTACTTTTGAAATAGCTGTATAGAAGCTGAATAGAAGTATTCTTATTGCCTGACATTAATCTCCACAGGTTCATGATACAGATGTTCAAAAGAGTTAGGCTTTTTCATAGAGCTTTTCAGAGTCGAAGTCTAAATTAGGATATCTGCTAACCCTTATAAAGGTATGGGGGGTTTTTACTGAACAAGCAGGAAGATTTGTCTCTCTAGATCAAGCACCTGAGTTATAACTGAGTACAGCCCTCTGGCTTTAATGTCATTAGAGACCAAAGCCTAAATTTTGGGGTAATTCATTTAGTAATATGTCCAGTTTTATTACATGTTGTATATTCATTGGTCTAAAAATTCCACACATTCTGACCTTCATCCAAGTGTATATATATATATGGGTCTGACTGTTAAAAGAGGTATTTGCCGAGTCACTGTAATAAGGCATCCGGAGTTAATCAGCAAGAAGCCTTATGAGAGAGCTCTCTTTATGTTTCATAAATAGTCTGCTGTCTGACAACCCATCTACTAGAATATGCATGCAATATGTTAACATTATCATTGTTAGATTCCAAATGGAAAGAGCTCAATCAAGTTACATCTGAGAGACAACAAAAACTGGAGGAGTCGTCAAATTACCTGACCCAGTTCCAGACAGCAGAAGCCCAGCTAAAGCACTGGCTTGTAGAGAAAGAGCTGATGGTCAGTGTGCTGGGACCACTGTCAATTGATCCTAATATGCTGAATACACAAAAGCAGCAGGTTCAGGTGAGTAGTGCCAACATACATTATTGATTTCAGTTTCTTCTGCTTTTTTTCTATTAGCAAAGTACTGTTTTGCAACTAGAGTAGATCGTGGTTAGTCTGACCCATTGGATTTTTTTATCAGCTTAAGTCTTAGTTGACTACAGTAATTACAAGAAAAACTTATCATAAGAGTGAAGAGAGATAAGAACAGCTAAAGGAAAAAATGTTGAGAAGATACTGATCCTCTGATAATTTTTTTTTTTTGTTTTGACAATAGTGTGATTTTTCTGGAGTGGAATGAAAATATCCCTTTGAATTTTATTAATTTGACATCTTATGGCCATTCTTCATTACAGTCTATGCTTAGAACTAGCTTTTTGAGATTTTATTCAATTGACTGTCAGTAGCTAACAAAAATGCAAAGGCAAGTGAAATGCTTTACTGCGCATAGATATGAGGCCAAGGGTGTGAAAGACAGAAGAAAGTATAATGAAAAAGTGTAGCAGTTTACTGACAGCAATGCAGAAACTTCAGACAAAAGAAACAGAAGTGAAATCAGATGAGGCTGCAGATTGTAGAAGTTTTAATTTCAAACATTTCTATTGCTGCCAGTTAATCTAAACTGATGTGAAATAACATGAGTTTTGCAAAGAAATTAATAAAGCTGCAATATCAATACTGATTAAAATGAAGTGTTTAAAACGTGAACTATGTTCTAAGATTATGTGAAAATGACTCAATATCGGTTTGTAAGTGCTTCAGAAATCGAGACCAGTGGCATAAAACTATAATGTATCACTTGACAGTCCTTAAAAGTTCAACCTAATTGACTTAAAAAGAAAGGGTTTGGAATGTTCTGTAAAGTAAAAGCATTATATTTGTCGCTTCTTCGGCAAGCACTGTGACTTACTGTCAAAAAAAACCACTAGAAACCAGGGATATAAACTTGAAAGGCCTCATAGTACACATTCAGTCATTTTGTGAATTATCAAAGTATTTTTTGTGCTATAATAATACATTGCAGTATTATGTACTTCTTTGAAGGTCTATCATAAGACAAATATCAAAATTGTCTAGGAAAGAAGACACTGCTTGAAACCAAACAGCACTTACTTTACTTGGTGTGGTTACATAATTAGTGGGATATTAACAGGATTCATTATTTAGTTGTATCTCCTGGTTGAATTTCCATTAGATGATGTGTAAATTAACCTCATTTTTTTCTGGTTCTTTGATGTAAATGCTTGGAAACAACACAGTTTATGTGTAGCAGGTGCAGTTATTTCACCACCTTTTAAGCTCAGAGGTTAATTAAAGAGCTTAGCTACAACAAATTCTACATGATTTTTATCAGAAGCCCTTTTCTTCTTTTTCATATGAGATAAATGCTTTTTAAAATTCTCTTTCTTTCTAGATTCTGCTCAAAGAGTTTGACACCAGAAAGCCACAATATGAGCAGTTAACTATGGCTGGTGAAGGGATTCTGAAGAGACCTGGTGAACATCCACCCTCACATGAAATTGTAAAAGAGCAACTGGCAGCAGTGGCACAGAAATGGGACAGTCTGACCGGCCAGCTGAGGAAGAGATGTGACCGAATTGACCAAGCCATTGTGAAAAGCACAGAGTATCAAAGTCTACTCAGAAGTCTGTCTGATAAGCTAAGTGCCTTGGATAATAAACTAAGCAGCAGCCTGGCTGTGAGTACACAACCTGATGCTGTGAAACAACAACTGGAAATTGCTAGAGAAATGAAGGAGGAAATAGAACAGGAAATGAAGAATATAAATGCCGCCCAAACTCTTTGTGAAGAGCTGTCAGCATTGGTTGGGGAAGAGTATCTGAAAGCAGAACTTACAAGACAATTAGATGGCATCTTAAAATCATTTAAGGATATTGAGCAAAAATCAGGTTAGTATTTACTTAAAGAAAAGTGCTAACTAAGACATAAAGTTAAACATGACTTTATGATAGAGATATTGAATGAACTGAGCCTGATGCCAGTTCTCTATCCAGTCCATTCCCAAGCAGCTGTACACTAGAATTTAGGAGAGTCCCCATACCTTGAAAAGGTAAGAACACTGCTTGGGATCTCTACTGAAAAGTTTGGGAGAGAATCTGAAGTACAGTAGCAGGGCTGCTTTTCTCAACTCTTCCTTCAGGTGCATCTTCACTGAATTAGAATATACCAAAAGAGGATGCTGTTCACTGAGGTATCTAACTTCATGGGGCAGATGTAAGCCAAAAGCATAATTTTTAGGCAAGAACCCCTTAGAGGAACACAGTGGCAACTGTATATAACTGCCTGTGACAGAAGGGGGCTGGTAGTCTGCAGCCTTCCCTTACCCTGTGAACCCAGAACTGAGCAAGTAATAACACTGCAAGCGATATCATACTTTGTTCTCCCTAGAAGCCTCAGTTTTAGCTTTTTAATTTCCTCTGGTCACAAGGAACTTGGAAGGATCTTCCTAAGAACACATATTGCCTGCAGGCCATGAGTTAGACACTGCTAGGCTAGACCACTTAAATTCCCTGTTCTTACACTTCATAATACCATAAAACACAATTGTGTGGCTTTTACCCCCAAAATCTGCCTGAATGGGATTCATGTAGACACAGATTGGCTAAGCTTCCCTTATTTGATTCATGTTCTAATGCCTTCACTGCTCTGCTGTATTATAGGCATGAGTCTGTCCCTTGCAAAAAGCTTTGTTGACTTGGTTGTCTCCTAGTCAAACAACACATACTAAGGACCAATTTTCCTTACATTAATGATTATGTGTAATAGAATCAATATTAGCTTGGGGGTTTTCCACTGAATACTACAGGTTCTGACAAAATGAATCTCTGTGATGTCTTCTCTTTTGTAGATAACCATGTTCAGCAGCTTCAGTCAGCATACACCACTTCTCATCAGTTCCAGCAAATGTCTAAGGACTTTCAGACCTGGCTAGGCAAAAAGAAAGAAGAGCTGAACCAGGCTCGTCCTGTTTCAGCCAAACTGGATGTCTTGCAATCACTAATTGAAGAGCAGAAAGATTTTAAGAAGACAATGAGTGATCAGATTAGTTCATATGAAAGAATTGTTGCAGAAGGAGAAAGTATTTTACAGAAAACTCAAGGAGCTGACAAAGCAGCGTTGCAATCCCAAATTGCTGCACTCAGAAATAACTGGGATGAAATGAATAAACAGGTAAAAGAAAGGGAAGATAAATTAACAGATTGCCTGGAGAAAGCCCTCAAATACAAGCAGCATGTAGAAAATCTGCAGCCATGGATAGAGAAGTGCCAAAGCAACCTGTGTGAACTAAAAGTTGGCATAAACCCCGTTGAAATAGAGAATTCTATTGCTCAGGTGAGGGCATGGCAGAAGGACCTGGATAAACACCATGGGATGGTGGAGCTATTAAATAATTCTGCTGAAAGTTTGCTCAGGGCAAGTCAAACAGATAAAGAAATTGTTCAAGAAGAAACTAAGGTGCTGAATCAGAATGTGAATGTGGTTACAGAACAGTTACATAAGAAGAGAGAGTGCTTGGAAAATATGGCACAAAGACTGAAAGAGTTTCAGGAATCATCCAGAGAAACTGAAAAACAGCTTAAAAGTGCCAAAGAGCATCTGGAAGCTCATGACTCACTTGGACCTCAGTCATTCAGCAACAAACACCTGACAATGATGCAGGCCCAGCAGAAAGCCTTGCAGGCTTTAAAGCCTCATGTCGATCTAGCAAAAAAGCTTGCCCAAGACCTAGTAGTAGAAGCTTCTGATTCAGCAGGTGTTTCTGATCTTTTGCTCCAAGCTGAATCTTTGGAGCAAGAATACACTGCAGTGAACAAGCAGGTTGAAGATAGGTGCTCATTCTTAGAGACAAAACTTCAGGGAATCGGCCATTTCCAAAACAGCATCCGAGAGATGTTCTCTCAGTTTGCAGAGTTTGATGATGAACTTGATAGCATGGCTCCAGTGGGGAGAGATCTCAAGGTGTTGCAATCACAGAGAGAGGACTTAAAATATTTCCTGAAAAAGTTGGAGGATCTTATAATGAATAATGAAAATGCTAATAAAAATTGTAAAATGATGCTAGCCACGGAAGCTGAAGCTTCTCCTGATCTTGTTGGTATAAAGAGAGACTTAGAAGCTTTAAATAAACAGTGCAACAAGCTACTAGACAGAGCAAAAGCCAGGGAAGATCGAGTAGAGGATACTATTTCCCGTGTTGAGGAGTTTTACAGTAAGCTAAAAGAATTTTCCAGTCTGCTTGGGAGAGCCGAAGAACATGAAGAGTCACAAGGTCCTGTTGGAATGGAAACAGAGACAATTAATCAGCAGCTGAATACATTCAAGGTAGGAAGATTGCTTTCTTACTACTATAAAGTATTTTACCACAATACAAATTTATTAAACATCATAGGGAAAAAGGGATTGGTTACATGCAGACCTTGGAGGAGTCTTGTTTCTCAGCAGTCTGTTCTGCCTGTATGCTTTTTATCTGTTTTAAGAGGGTATCTTCTCATGCTTCTGAAAAGCTTTCCTTTGCTACAGCTTGGCAGACACTGCAAACCTTGCATCCCAGCTCCTAGTTCCTGCACCCCAGTTCCTTCTTCACCTATCTTCATTGTCTTGTTACCCTCTGTTATCCATCTGCCTTTTCTGTTTTTGGGAAACTGCATATTGTTTCTATTTGATGTCCATGTATAGCACAACTTTTGTCTTCACAGTGGTGTAAGTTTTATATTCCAGTGTTCACATACTACCCCACGTTCACTTTGCTCAGCTGGGTAGTTTAGTTTTGGTTTTTTTCACACAGATATAGGATTCAGCATATGTAGATTTAAGATGTTACTTTTCACCATTTTGTCTTCTGATACACTGGCCAGTTTTACCTCACTGAATCCTACCCTTACCTAGAAACATCCTAGTAAAAAGACAACAGGCAAAATGAGCCCCCTGTTATAGTGGGAATTTGCTGTAGCATCCTTACCCAAAATGTGCTGTGGAACTTCTGTGTGTAGCTTTTATAATATGCCAGTAAGCAATCCTTGTCTAGCTAAAAAAAATGCATTGCAGTGATAATGAGTGTTAAATGAGCTTTGGTGCTGAAATGAAATACAGATATTTGCTTGGTTTAGGTTATAATATATGAATTTCTAATTCTCATTAGAAATACTTATAAATCCTATAGATGAGCAGTGTTTAAAGAAGATCATAAATTTCCTAATGGTTATATAGTAGCACTGAATATTCTGTGCTGCCTTGGTTTCATTCCAATCTAATAGTGATTCAAATGTTTGTATGACTTATACATTAGTTGACACTTGATAAAACCAAATTTCGGTAACAGGATTCGATAAGCTATGCTGTTAAAAATTTGATGACCTTGGAAAACAGACATAGAATCATAGAATCAACTGGATTGGAAAAGACCTCCGAGATCATCAAGTTCAACCATTGATCTAACGCTGCCATGGTTACTAGATCATGGCGCTAAGTGTCACATCCAGTCTCATCTTAAAAACCTCCAGGGACGGTGAATCCACCACCTCCCTGGGCAGCCCATTCCAATACCTGGAATATTACTCTCTCTCTAAAAAACTTCTTCCTAATATTCAACCGAAACTTTCCCTGGCACAGCTTAAGATCATGCCCTCTTGTCCTACTGCTGGTTGCCTGGGAGAAGAGATCAACGCCCGCCTGGCTACAACCACCTTTCAGAAAGTTGCAGAGAGTGATGAGGTCTCCCCTGAACCTTCTCCTCCCCAGGCTAAAAAAGCCTCAGCCTCTCCTCATAGGACTTGTGCTTGAGTCCCTTCACCAGCCTGGTTCTCTTCTCTGGACCTGCTCCAGCACCTCAATATCCTTCCTGAACTGAGGGGCCCATAACTGGACACAGCACTCCAGGTGTGGCCTCACCAGCACTGAGTACAGGGGAAGGATCACTTCCTTCATCCTGCTGGCCACACTGTTCTTGATGCAGGCCAGGATGCCATTGGCCTTCTTGGCCACCTGGGCACACTGCTGGCTCATGTTCAGCCTCCTGTCGATCAGCACCCCCAGGTCCCTTTCTACCTGGCTGCTCTCCAGCCACTCTGTGCCCAGCCTGTAGCACTGCAGGGGGTTGTTGTGGCCAAAGTGCAGGACCCGGCACTTGGCCTTGTTGAACCTCATCCCCCTGGAATCGGCCCAACTCTCCAGCCTATTCAGGTCCCTCTGCAGAGCCCTCCTGCCTTCCAGCTGATCGACACTCCCCCTGCAACTTGGTGTCATCTGCAAATTTGCTTGATCCCCTCATCTAAATCATCAATAAAGATGTTAAACAGGACTGGGCCCAGCACTGATCCCTGGGGGACACCACTGGTGACCGGCTGCCAGCTGGATGCATCCCTGTTCACCAGCACTCTCTGGGCCCGGCCCTCCAGCCAGTTCCTGACCCAGCACAGAGTGCCCCTGTCCAAGCCATGGGCTGCCAGCTTTTCCAGGAGTATGCTGTGGGAGACAGTGTCAAAGGCTTTGCTGAAGTCCAGATAGACACATCCACAACCTTCCCCTCATCCACCAGGTGGGTCACCAGATCATAAAAGGAGATCAGGTTGGTCAGACAGGACCTGCCCCTCCTAAACCCGAGCTGGCTGGCTCTGATCCCTTGTCCATCCTGTAGGTGCTGTGTGATTGCACTCAGGATGATCTGCTCCATAACCTTGCCAGGCACTGAGGTCAGGCTGACAGGCCTATAGTTTCCCAGGTCCTTCTTGCAGTCCTTTTTGTAGATTGGTGTGACATTCACCAACTTCCAATCATCTGGGACCTCCCCAGTGAGCCAGGACTGTTGGTAAATGATGGAGAGTGGCTTGGCAAGCTCTTCTGCCAGCTCCCTCATTACCCTAGGATGGATCCCATAGACTTGTGAGCATCCAAGTGGCTCAGCAGGTCACTAACGGTTTCCTCCTGGATTACAGGGGAGATATTTGGCTTTCTGTCCCTGTCTACCAGCTCCAGTGGCCACTTGTCCTGAGGACAGCCTGTCTTACTGTTGAAAACTGAGGCAAAGTAGGTGTTAAGTACCTCATCCTTCTCCTCATCTTTGGTGACTGTGTTTCCCTCTATGTCCAACAAAGAAGGGAGGTTTTCCCATTGCTCTTCCTTTTGCTATTGATGTATTTGCAGAATCACTTCTTGTTATCCCTAACAGAAGTAGCTAGACTGAGTTCAAAACGTGCCTTTGTCTCTCTAATTTTCTTTCTACGTGACCTAACTATATTCCTAAACTCTTCATGAGTAGCCAGCCCTTTTTTCCATGGTCAGTAAGCTCTCTTTTTCCCCCTTATTTCCTTCAAAATCTCCCTGTTCAGCCAGACTGGTTGTCTTCCCCGCCGGCTTACCTTTTGGCACACTGGGACAGCCTGCTCCTGTGCATTCAAGACTTCCTTCTTGAAGCACGTCCATCCCTCCTGGACCCCTTTGTTTTCAAGGGCTGTTTCCCAAGGTACCCTCTGAACCAGTCTTCTGAGTAGGCTGAAATCTGCCTTCCAAAAGTCCGGGGTAGAAGTTTTATTGATGGCCCTCTTTGTGTCCTTGAGTATTGAAGACTCTATTATTTCATGGTCACTGTGCCCCAGACGGCCTCTGACCACCACATCTCCCAGCAGCCCCTCTCTGAACAGCAGGTCTAGCAGAACTCCACCCCTGGTAGCTCGGTTACCAGCTGGAGCAGGAAATTATCCTCTATACACTCTAGGAATCTCCTAGACCGCCTCTTCCCTGTTGTGTTGAGTTTCCAGCAGATATCAGGCAGGTTGAAGTCACTCACAAGAACAAGGGCTGGCAATTTTGAGACATCTGCCAGCTGCTTGTAGAATAATTCATCACCCTCATCATCCTGATTGGGTGGTCTGTAATAGAATCCCACCAGGATGTCAGCCTTGTTGGCCTTCCCCCTGATTCTGATCCACAGGCACTCAACTTTGTCGTTACTGACTTCAAGTTCTACAGAGTCAAGAGACTCTCTAACATATAGAGCCACCCCTCCACCTCTCCTACCTTGCCTGTCCCTTCTGAAGAGCTTGTAACCATCCATGGCAGCTCCTCTTGTTTGTTACCCATATTGTGTGGATTGGTGTATGTGCATTTCAGCTGGACTGCTGATTTCACTTCCAACTCTGGCTTTCCACCTTTGGGCTCATCTCTGGAGAGCCTGGTTTCAACCCCTCCCCCTTCAAACCTAGTTTAAAGCCCTCCTGATCAGCCCTGACAACTTATGGCCTAGAGTCCTTTTGCCCTCGCTAGATAGATGAAGCTCATCTGACTCCAGCAGGCTAGATACCATAGAATTTGCCTCATGGTCAAAAAAAACCAAAATTCTGCCGGTGACACCAATCTTTTACCCACCTAATGATTAGATGAGTTTTCCTACTCTTCTCCTCATTTATCCCTGCTACTGCAGGAACTGAGGCAAACACCACCTGTGCTCCTGTCCCATTAACTAATAACTAATTGACTCAGTGCCTTGAAGTCCTTTTTAATTAGCCTGGTACCTCTTTCATTAATGTCATCACTGCCAGCCTGGACCACTAGCAGTGGATAATAATCAGAGAGCCAGATTAGTTCAGGGAGTCTCCTACTAATATCCCTCACCCAGGCCCTGGTAAGGCAACAGACTTCCCTGTGGGATGGGTCCAGTTGGCATATAGGGCCCTCAGTTCCCCTCAGAAGGGAGTTGCCGACTGCAACTACCCTTCTTTTTCTCTTTATAGCTGTGGGATCCTCTTCTTGACTGCCCTCTGCCTGACTCTCTGGGTCCAGGACCTCATACCTGTTCTTTATGGCACCATGGGAGGTGATGGGGGGTGGGAGGGGATTCCTTTCCCTCTTCGATCAGGGACCTTTTTCCATTCCCCCTCATCCACTTGGTTTGTTCCAACTGCCTGACGGCAGGAGGGGCAGAACTTCACTGTCTCATCTGGAGTTCCTTTGGGGTCAAAAGGTATGACTCCACCAGTCTATTTCCCTTTCTCTAATACTTTTTAGCCTCTCCACTTCTTCCTCGAGCTCTACCGCTAAGCACTGCAAATCATTCACCTGCTTGCAGTGTACACAAATGTTTCTCACACTGTCCTCTGGTACTAACACCAGGCTCAGACACTCTGTGCAGCCAGTCATTACGTGCCTGGCCAACAGAGGGTGCGTTTTGCTCGTTTAAGAAAGGAAAACTAAACCAGAAAACTATCATCTGGGAATTTCGAGTGGAAGTTACTGTGAGTTTTGATGATCTTTTGGAATGCATAAATAGAGATGAAAATCTTGAACAAATAGTTACATTATGGGGAGATTCCATTAGACTGAGAGGATTA